TGTATGCCAGCGCTGCTGCCTTCTCCCTGCCTTCTGAGGCCAGCTGGGGAAGGGGGAAAGGGGGGAGTGAGGGGTAGGGGGGGTGACAGACGGTGAGGAGGGGGGGAAGGGAGCACACTTGATGAGTCGGCACAGCAAGGGGCTCGCCTCTCCTCTCTCCTCAGGAGGAGGGGAGGAGGGGGGAGGCAAGGCTGGGTGCTGGATGTTTGGCGTGTGCGTGAGAGAGTGCAAGAAGTGGGAAAGTGCTACAGGGAACAGAGGGGTGAGAACAACGATTTCTGGCAGAATAGAGCACACACTAACCGGGATGGCACGTCATACATTCGCCTGCACATGTCACACACACTCTCCCACATGTCAACTCACCTGCATGGCCTCCAGCGCCCTCTCAGTGCCCTCCTCCCTCTCCTTGGCCGTCCTCTCTGCCAGCGCCTGTATCTCCGCCACCGCTGCCTGCGTCGACACTATGCGCGACTCAGCCGCCTCGGCGCGCGCTATGGCAGCCTGAGGAGAGTGAAGGGAGGGAGGGGAAGGATGAGGAGGGTAAGAGTGTGTGCGTCTCTCTCTCCTTGACCGTCCGCTCTGCCAGCGCTTGTATCTCCGCCACTGCTGCTAGCATCAGACACTATGCGCGACTCAGACGCCTCAGCTCAGCCCATGCTATGGTAGCCTGGTCAGCGGATGGGGAAGGTCGAGAAGGGGAATGGGTGCGCATTCGAGGTGATAGAAAACCACTTTGCTGCCTCAGCCCCGCTTAGACTCTCTTCTTGAAACCCGACACGCCCCTGACCCGCCTAAACCCCCAAACCTCAGCCCTTTTCAGCCCTCACCTTGATCTCCATCCTCAGCTTCTCCTTCTCGCTCTCTGCTTGCTCCAGCACAGCTGTAGCGCAGCCCTCGCCAGTGCCCCTTTATTCTCCCTCCACTTCCCCGATGCATACAACCTAACTTTAACTCTCGCTCTCACCTTGATCTCCATCCTGAGGTTCTCCTTCTCGCTCTCTGCCTGCTCCAGCTTCAGCTGCAGCGCCGTGCGCTGCTCCTCAGAGCGCATGAGCGCCACTTCGGCGCGCCCCAGGCGATCCAGCACATCCAGGCGCTCCTGCAGCGCCGCCTCGGCCGACCTCGCCTGCTCCTTGGCTATGTCCGCCGCGGCTATCGCGTCCTCTATGGTCGCCTTCGCCTCCTCGATCACTGGCAAGGGCGGGGGATGGCGGGAGGAGGGAGACACGAGGAGGGAGAGAGACGGGCAGAAGGAGAGGAAGGGAGGGAGAAGAGGAGATGAGGAAGAAGGAAGACAGCAAGCGAGAGGGGAAGGCGAGAACATGAGCGTGACCTCAAGCGGTCCAGCACGTCCAGGCGCTTCTGCAGTGCCGCCTCGGCCGACCTCGCCTGCTCCCTGGCTATGTCCGTCGCGGCTATCGCGTCCTCTATCGTCGCCTTCGCCTCCTCGATCACTCCCAGGGACGGGCGACGTGCAGGGATCAAGAGGGGGAAGAGGACGGAGGGAGGGGAAAAAGGGACGCCGGAGGGAAAAGGACAGCCAAGAGAGACAGCACAGCAGAATAGGAAAAGTTTAGAGAGAAGAGAATGTTACAGCCTCTTGAGCATACCCAAGACATGAGTAGCCCTGAGACAGCACGCCATGACCCACCAGCAGCAGCAGCCTCATGTCACAAACCATACAACCAGCGCCTTACCAGCAGCAGCAGCCTCGTCCGCCGCAAGCCTGATCCGCTCCTCCATCTGCGCCGCCAGGTCCGCCGCCTCAGCCTTAGCAGCAGCAATCTTGAGCCGCGCATCCTCCGCCACTGCCTGGGTCTGCTCCTGCACCGCCAGGGCCGCCATCTGCTCCACCTTCATCGCGAGGTCGATCCCCTCCTGCTTCGCCTGGGCCAGCTGCTGCTCCACCTCCTCCTTCTCCCTCTGCAGCCGCGCCACCTCCTCTTTGAACTTCTCCTTAGCTGCTTCCACCTCGGAAACCGCCTCTTCGGTGGTCAGGACCATCTGAGCAGACATGGATTCGACCTTTGCCTCGGCCACGGTTACTGCTTCTAGAGCGAGTTCCTTGGCTTGCAGGGCGGTGGCTGCTGCTTCCTCTGCAGCGGCGAGGGACGCCTTGAGCGCCTGGATGGTGTCCTCGGGGGACGCAGCGGGGCTCAGGGCAGTGCCATTGCCGTCTGTAGAAGTGCCCTCTGCTGGCCCCGCCTGGTGGGAGGAGAGGGGAGGGGAGGCAGGGATGGGAGGAGAGAAGAGGGGTCCTTTGAAGGGGAATACGTCCATTCGAGGAAGGGGCATGCCCATCTGAAAGGGAGATATGGGAGATATGTCCATTAGAGAGGGGGAGGGGGGATGCAGCGGGCTTAGGGTAGTGCCATTGCTGTCCGCCTCAACGCCCTCTGCTGGACCCGCCTGATGGGCTATCTTGCTTTCTTCGAGCTTGTGAATGTCTCAAGCCGCGATCTATCTTGCTTTCCTCGAGCTTATAAATGTCTCAGGGATATGGATATCTCAAGGCGTGATAGATTCAGCGAGAGCATTGGATGAATCTGGTGAGGCAGTTCTCACCTCGTTTGCAATGCGGAGCCTTCTAAAGTCCAACGCCGGTGGTGACCTTTTCCCAGGCTGACCCAGGATCAAGCTCCTGAGGATGTGTGGCGCACGCAGGCCCATGTCGTGGAAAGAGGAATGTGCCCCATGCACAAAGAAAGTCACACGGGAAGGTGGAAAAAGTCACACGGGAAGGACCAGACTTGGCATCAGCGGCCAGTGTCACGGGAAAAAGCAGCCAGCAAGTATATTGGAGCCATAGACCAAAGCAAACGTCTAAGTGCATGAATCTACACTAGGGTGAAACCGCAGAAGATGTCTGTAACGAATCCCATAAGCCGCGTCTCACCTCTGTCCCAGGAACAGGCTACGGCCGGCACCAGAGGCAGCAGTAGCGGATCGGAGACGAGGGGAGCCGTCCAGGGCATGCCCTGTGCTGTAGAGAACAGCAACCGTGGGGAGTCGCGAGGGGGAACGCTGTCTAGGGGGAGAGGACGGGCGGAGCGTATACAGCAGACGGCTCGATTTGGCTGCCGTTGCTGACGTGGCAGCGGTGGCGGATGAGGTGGGGAAAGAGCGGGATGCGGTGGTGGAGAGAGAGCAATGCGGAGGTTTCGGGCGGACGGCGAGGGAGGATGTTGAGGTTGCTGACGCTGATGCTGATGCTGATGCTGTTACTGAGGCTGATGCTGATGCTGTTACTGAGGCTGATGCTGATGCTGGTGCTGATGCTGCTGCCAGCGGTGCTACGCCACTCATAGACGCCTGGGTGGGTGGGGGGGGTTGGGGGGGGGGGGTTTGAGAAAGGCAGGAAGATTAAATGTTAGAGGAGCGGCGGGAAAGATCGTGTCAGGAGGAAGATTGAACGTGAGGACAATCGTTCCTGATGACGAGCAGTCATGGTGCTCATTGGTCGTGATGATGAATCTCCTTAGGGACGATTGGTCGCAGCACTGGAAGATTAGGATTGAACATCCGATTGAGCAGAAAGAGATTGAGAGATGGTCAGAAAACGACATGATCGAGATGACACAGGAGCACACACGTGATCGCAACATACGCAGTCTGATACTAACAGACAAGCACAAATTGCATATGGACAGGCATAACTTGAGATGTAGCAAGTTAAATCTTGACATGCAGGATTCAGATCCTCTGATCGACGCACAGCGCATCACCGCATCCTTCAGAAAATTCATGGAGCACGGAGGAATACAACAGCTTATCCAACTGAAACATCGAGAAAACCCTCGTTGCAGATTTATCGCGGCGGCTTCGCTGTCAAATACTAGCGGACCTCGATTCGAACCCGAGGCACGTCGACTATACGGAGAAAGCAAGCGCATAGTGGAGAAATCTACGATGAGCGAGGAAAGCGACGGACCATGACTGATCGCCCGCAGAGAGGGCCCGAGGAGAGGATTGAAGCAGCTGCATCAGATGCTCATCCTATCGTCATGTGCGTGAAGGCTCCACGGCAAGAAACAAATGCGGACGCGGATCCTTCCTGGAGGAAACAGGGTGCATTAGGTTGACGGAAATCTTGACGGGGAAACGTCAGTTTTGACGGAGTAGGACGGATACCCTACGGTCCGTCGTGTCCGACGATTGCTAAGTCAGCAAGGCTGACGGCGACTATTGTCTAAAGGAAAATGATTCTGATAACAAGCAGAGCAAGAAGAATCTACTACGCACCAGAAAATGAGTGGTCACACCCTGGATTGAAAAGCCCAGCAAGACTTGTCAGGTAATCAGTGATGAGGGACTGATATTTTGAATCTGGGAAAAGAGAGGGAAGAAAGGCAAGGGGATGATATCAAGGAACCCAAGGGATCAGTTAGAGGCTCTCGGGATCTTCTTGAAAATCTACAACAATCGCAAAGCGTCAAATCCCTCCTGATTTTTTATTTTGAGACGTTACAAAACATGGTTACCAACCAAAAGTTCTTCGCCCGTATTTTCTCACCAATCGTATGAACTGCGTGCGAACTCATGGCGGACCTAACCCTCACGGAACACGCCTGAACTGAAACTAGAATACTGGGGGTTGCGGTTGCGGAGCACCGACAGCCGACAGGGGAAGGGGGAAGTGACCCAGGCGGAGAGGTGCGGAGTTTTCAAGGCTCCCTTGGTGGGTCTGTTCGCTCTGACACACCACCCACGCACCCAAGCAGCTCTCTCGATCAGATCGCACTGATGGAGAAGAGTCCGTTGACGCGTCACCGACTCACTGCCAGGCCAGTGATGAGTTTCCGACGAATCCGACGCAAAGGCGGCCCCACGTGGCGGTCTGTGTAAGGGCAACGGTTCGTGGTGAGCGGAAAGTCGCTCATCGGCCAACGATTGGGCAGCGACCCAATCTTAGTCCGTCAGAATGAGAGAGCCATTCCAGCAGCTACGTGGACAAACTACCATCAGTACAGTAGGTAATAGCGAATATCACTAGTTTCATGTACACTGAATCTTTATTCATCTCTACCGAAGGATGCCTGAAGTCCCCCGCCATGCAGGCTGTAAGATGCATGGAGTCGAATTTCCATTGTGGAGAAGTCACAGTTACGCTAGATCCGCATGCTGGTGGGAAGCCTGGTACAAGTAGTAGCTCTCATGCTAGTACCACACTGCCGCTGCCTATGCGAGACGCCTTCACAATCATATGCTGCATGAAACAAACTGAAGTATCAATTTTGACATCAAATTACCAGCTGGCATCAGCTGTCGCATCCTGTGAGAGCAGAGCAGCAAGCAGGCGAGAGTGCTGGTCGTTGGAAATACTTAAAGCCCGGCGGAGGTCTGTCAGCAGCACTTCCTTATCCCACGTGATGCCCTCTCCCCCTCCCTGCACCCACAGCGCATGCAGCACCCCCCCGTATGCCGCCTCTGCCACTGCCTGGACCCCCGTATCCCCTCCCCCAAGCACCACCTCTCTCTCTACCCCACCAGCTACATGCCTCATATCCCCCCCTCCATAGAGTGATCGAGTCGACACCCCACAGTACTCTTTGTTCTCAGTAGTGGCCCCCGGTCCATTGTGTGTCTGCAGCGTGTCGCGGCTGTGGAAAAGAGGCCCCTGGCGGCTCCAGGTGCCAAAGAACCGCTGTCTCTTCACCCCGCCGATGTGCTGCTCGGAGCACAGCCGTGCAGCTCCTAGGGTTGGCTGGAATGGCGAGGTAACAGGCGCACAGTGATGGACTGAAGGTGCTGCTGGTGTGTGGGGAGCTGCTGCCATGCCTGCAGGTGCAGATGTGCACGCTTCTGTGTACGCTGTTGTATTTGTATGTGCTCTTGCATGTGGATGTGCTTTGGCATGCGCTGCTGTAAGGGCCAGTGTGGAGAAGTTGGTCTGTCCTGCTGCTGTGGTGAGACCCGAGGGGGATGTCACATTCACATGCCGGTGCACCGGTTCTCCTGCTGGTACTGCCGCTTCTCCTGGTCTATGCTGCACTATGCTCACACATACCTCCTCCCCCACCACCTCCACCACATCATCATCCTCATCATCATCTTCGTCATCCTCTTCATCGTCCTCATCCTCCTCCACACCAGCATCATTATCACCGCCTTCCTTGACACCATGCACCTCTCTCAACTCCTCCACATCCACCTCCTCCCCATCATCCTCAATTTCCACCACCGCTCCCCCACCTGCCCTCTCCTGCTCCCCCCCCACCTCTCCCCACTCATCCACCTCCACCACTCCCTCCACCCTCGCCACTCCCTGCTCCCCAACATCCACCCCAATCAACTCCCTTCTCCTGTCACCTACACTCCCCCCTCCTGCTCGCCTTACATGAGGCGCCTCAGAGATCGCCTTTGCGACTGGAGGTGCCCGTGGCCTCTCCCCACCCACCATGGGCGTTGCAGGCATCGCTGCAGGCATCGCTGCAGGCATCGCTGCAGGCATTGCTGCAGGCATCGCTGCAGGCATCGTTGCAGGCATCGCTGCAGGCATTGCTGCAGGGGTGGCAGGCGCACCATCGGGTGCGGCAGGAGTTGCAGCAGGTGTGGTGGGAAATGCGGCGGGTGTGGCAGGGGCAGCAGCAGCAGCAGTAGCAGAAGCAGAAGCAGCTGCTGCTGCTGCCTTCGTTTTCAATCCTGTGCTGGAGGTGAACGGAGGAAGGGTGCTTGGTGCATGCGAGGTGGCCTTCAAACCTCCTCCTCTCCCTTCTGTTACTCCTCCTCTCCCTTCTGCTCCGCCTCTCCCTTCTACTCCTCCTCCCTTTCCCAACATCTTGGCATAAACCCTAGACGCCTTGCACTGCCTTGAAAGCCTCCCTCTCCCTCCCCCAGTCCCACCTGCTGCACTCTTATCTCCCCCATCTGCCTGCCTCCCCCCTCCTGCCCCCTGCGTTTCCTGCAGCAGTGCAGCCTGCTTGCCCCCGCCCTGAGGCGCCACCGAGTGTCTTCCTGCTGGCTCACCCCCTCCTCCACCTGCTGCTTCTGCAAGAGAAACACCCACCAACGGGACTCCTCCCCCCTTAATTGTCTGACTTAGAATTTGAGAGCAGAATTGAATCTTCTGTCTCTGCATGTCTAGGCATCGGCCCACCCACCCCTGCGCTGTCCTCCTTCGCTTGTAGACGATCAGTGGAGCCTCCCTCTCTCCAGCACCAGCATTGGAACAACCAGTAGCAGCGCTCAGATCCCAGGGGTCATCCTGACAGGGTTTATCTGGACAGGGTTTATCCTGACAGGGTTTATCTGGACAGGATTTAACCTGACAGGGTTTATCCGGACAGGAATCACTGAGGGGCTGACACGTGGTGCTTCTACGCTTCTCCAAAGCTGCTAATCCCTCAACCTCAGGTGCTGGCACGTGTATCGCATATTCTGCTGCCCTGCCTTTACCCTCACCCTCACCGCTGCTCTCGAGTGGTGGTGACCTCGCACCTTTACCGCCATCCGGCACCACCCGCTCGAATCTCACTGCACTAAGCACGTGCACAGGTCTGCCTGCTACTGTTGGAGCGCCTCCTACTGCCTGTGGCACATTCCCAGCTGCCCTGCACTCACGCCCACCACCACTCCCGTCTGGTGGCGACCTCGCATCGAAGCCTGGTTCCCTTTCCTCCCCTTCATCCCCTCTCGCTGCACCAAGCACGTGCACAGATATGCGTGCCTTGCTGCCAAGGACGGTGGCTAGGCCTGTGGCCCCTTCCTCTCCTCCCCTCGCTTTCTCTTCATACTCCCCCTCTCCACCCCTATCTTTCACTTCACTCTTCCCCTCTCTCCATCTCTCTTTCTCTTCTCTCTTCCCCTCTCCAACCCTCTCTTTCTCCTCACTCTTTCCCTCTCCACCCCTCTCTTTCTCTTCACTCTTCCCCTCTCCACCCCTCATTTTCTCTTCACACTCTCCCTCTCCACCCCACTCCTCGCCATTCCCTCCGTCACCTCCTCTCTGACATTCTTTAGGATCACTAGCACCACCCACACTCACAGGCGCCGCCCGCCCTTCACTAATGTCACACTGTCCTACTGTCACCGGCCCACAAGAAAACGGCTCCCCTGAATCTATCTCCTGGTGACCAGCAGCCTGCTCCTTCAACCCACCCTGCCCCATACCACCCTCGTTCACCCCGCCCTCCAATCCACACTCATCAACGCACTCCTTCACTCCTGGCGCTGCTGCTTCATGTTCCGCTGCTGGTGATCCTGCTGATGGCGAATGACCTGCTTCGTCTGCTGCTGCTACTGCTGCTGCAGCTAATCGTTCTGCTGCTGGTAGTGCTCCTCTTTCTCTTTCCCCTGCTGCTGCTGCTGCTGCTGCTGCTGCTGCTGCTGCTGCTGCTGCTGCTGCTGCTGCTGCAGCCACGTCATCCCTTTCCTCGGCTCCTGCTCTCCCCTCCATCACAGACTCCTCCCCCGCCTGAGTCTCCCCCGCCTGAGTCTCCCCCGCCTGAGTCTCGGGCCCTGAAGCCAAAGAAGCCCCTCTTCCATCAGCTAGTAATGCTGCCTTGCCTCCTTCCTCTGCTGCTGCTCCCGCTGCTCCTCCTCCGGCTGCCATGTCTTGCATGGTTACAGCATCAGCTTCAGGATCCGTTACAGCATCCGTTACAGCATCAGCACAAGCTGATACATTAGCAATACCCATAGCTACATGAGTGATAGCAGCAGAAGTTACAGCGGCAGTAACGGCAGGAGCAGCAGCAGCAGCAGCAGCAGCAGCAGCATCACCGGCAGCAGCAGCAGCAGCAGCAGCAGCGTCAGCAGACGAAGGAGACATGTCAGCAGCAGCGTCAGCGTCAGCAGCCACGGGCCCCAGAGAGATCCACTTGCCATGAAGCCAGTCCATTCTCGTGCGCAGGTCACGGGCCAGAAACACCTTCTGCTCCGTTGATCCCTGGAAATACACCCTGAACGCCAGCACGTCAGCCTCGGTGCCGAGCCTAGCGCCAGGCACGGCACCGGGAGGTTCGGGATGGGGCATGGTTCGGCGCCTGAAGTCGCGGCCAACGATTGTGCCGACCCACCAGCCATCATTGTCCCACGCCTCCACGGGATGGCCCTGGGAGAGAGTAGAGGGGGGGAGGAAAAGTGAGGAAAGGGAGGAAAGGGAGGAGGGGGGAGGAAAGAGCAGAAAGAGCGGAAAAGGATGGGTGCTCTGTCAAAGATCCTCGGCAATCAGGCACGTCAACCAACCAGCAATACTGAACCACCCCACGCCTGAAAAGACTCTTCTCCTCCCTACCTCATCCCACGTGGCAGGGTCATCCCCATCAATGACAGGTGGCACGGGGCGGATCTGATCCAAGCTGACGTGTTCAGTCAGCCTGGTCACCCCGTCCTCCTCCATCATCTCCTCGTACCGCACTGAACCCATCCGCCTGCCTCTGTCTACCGCCAGCAGCACGGCAGTGAACCAAGCGCCCTGGAAACCCTCCCCCCGAGGAGCAACTTCCACCCTCTCCCCCGCGCGCCAGCGCCTGGGGGAAAGGGGGGACATGCCTGGGGGGGAGGGGGAGAGGGGAGGAAGGGAGGAGGAGGGGTGGGGGGAGGAGGGGAGGGGAGGGGGAAGAGGGGGACGGGGGATATAAGCCTTATATCCCCCGCCTCTGAGCGGTGGCAGCGCAATCTCTACTAGACCAAGAGCTTCTTAGGCCGCCTAGTGCCTAGCACCTCAGTACTGCATAAAGCGCGGTGCATTACGCCTACTAGACGATATCACACGCAATCTAAAGGTTTCAGCGCGCACCACGACAATAGAACGCATCATATCATAACGTGTACCAGAGCCCCCTCCTTCTCCGGGTTTCCTCCCTTGCCTACCCGCTACGCTCCGCTTTACCTAAACCCTGTGCACCCCTCCATCTTCGCGCTTCACTCTCCTAGCTTCCTGTCGCTACATTTGAGTCGACTCAAAAGCAGCCCTTCTTCGCGCTTCAACCACCTAGCACTCCTACCGCTCCGTCGAGCGGCGACCACCACGTGGATCGGATTCGGCGCGCCTCGAAGCCGCTCCTTACCCCCCCCCTTCCCCACCAAGCAGTGAAAGCCTCACTTCGTGCGGAAAGCAATACCTTTGTTGCGTCAGCGCCGCGAGCAGAGCAACGGATTCGGCAATGGGCCTAAATTGGCGGATGGGCGAGTACAGCATCGTACGAGTGCAGCATCGTACGAGTGCAGCATCGTACCACACGCGCATGGGCAACGGCACGATGCTGCTGGTGATGCTGTGGTACGATGCTATCACGGATTTACCTGAGTCGGAGTCGAACGTTGACCCACCTGAGTCGGATCTGCTGCTTTCGACGCGCCTCAAAGCCGGTGCTCTAGCGTCCTGTGAATTCAAGAATGGCGCCTGTGAAATCAGCAGTGTGAGAATCGCGACTCAGGTCGATGAATCATAATGGCTATCGGTCGTGGAGTTACATTGCTCCTACAAGATACTGCAAACTAGATGATGCAGGAGATGAGAGAAGGCTGGTGGGAAATCAGCACCTTTCACCTGCGCTGTGGAGACTTCTTCACATGCACAGTTCAGCCGTTAGCAAACGCGAGTTATGAGCTGTAAACATCCGGATGAATATGGGATTCTTTAGAAGGGCAAACCTTTGTTTGTACGTGTCCTGAATCCTAATTTTCATATTTGCCCAGAAATCAATCACACACTATCAACCCAAGAGCATTGTAGCACATCCTCTCCATTGAAACATTAGCATGGTCAGTGGTTTAGTTATGCTGCATATATGGCCCTTTCAACATCTCATTATGCGGTGTGCTGTACATCCTTTTATGGTGCACTGGAATCCGTGTATGGACACGCCAGTGGTTTATACGGTTTTCCACGGTTTAGTATGGTGCATTTTGTTCTCCCGCGAGGTAAGGGCAGTCGGGCCCAGGGCTAATTTTTCGTTTTTCAAGACCCAGCGGTCTCAGGATTCGCGTCACTAAAGACCCTGAAAATTCAGCATTCCCTGGAAAATCTCTCTTTATTTCAGGATTACTTTGACCTTTCAATCTGAAATTCAGAGTGGTTTTTTGGACTCCCTACATATCAGCGGAACCTGTGGGCACTTCGAGTACAAGCAGGAAGGACATCGATGGAAGAAACGAGAATACAAAACACACACTTGCTGCTGCTGCTGTCCCTCACCACTACACCTAGTTCGACACTTCAGTTAATCGCGACAGAAATGCACACAACTTAGAGGGACAGTGCGCAACCTGGCTAAGGTTGTGAGGCCTGCACTTCTGTAGTTGTGAAAGTTCCACGGGTCGCACCTTCAGATTGCGTGGAAAATTGGTCAGGGTTACGAAGGAATTGGGGGGTGGGGGCGTGAGGTTGCAATTCCAGCACGGGTAGTTTCCATGCCAGTCAGATGATCAGGATAATTTTTCGCGCAATCCGGATTTCTTAGGGTGTTCCTTGGAAACGCCCGGAATCTGTCAGGAGGTTTGTTAGTCCGAAATCCTCAATCAGTATTTCAGAGGGAAAGACCCGGAATGTACCTGACATTCCGGATGTTTACCCTTGAACCGAGAGCCCTGGTCGGGCCCTCTGGTTGAAGATTTTTATGAAGCCTCCTCGCAATTGCAAAGGTCGTCTCTTCGTGAATTGTTATTGGCGCAGCGACCCGATCGGATGGGCTATTCCTGCGGCTGGGGGGCAGGAAGATCCTCGATGGTACAACACGTGGTCATCCTTCGTTGACGTGTATCTCTTACCATCGTCAGATGTGATTAGAGATGTGAGGTCTCCCGCATCGTAGGGGTACCTACATCACGTCGAAGCGCGAACGTGCGACAACCATCAAGAAGGGGCGATGCTGACTGTAATGGTCCTTCTGACGACTCGAGGACTGCGCGGCTGTTTGGGGGATGGCGATGGTGGTTGGTGTGTTTTTCAGATTTTCCGGATTCAAGGCTGCTTCTGCGACCCAGAAATGCAGTGTCGAACACAGCATTTCGAAGCTACGTCGTGACGTCAGAGTCTGCCACGTTTCGAAGGCGCGGGCAGAAGCTCACAACGAGTAATGATATCACATAATTTCGAGCCATTCGGAAGATCTCCCGCTGGGTCCGAGTCGTTCTCGTCGCACCATCAACCACATCCATTCGGTCTCTTCGAGACATCATCCAAACTGCAAGCCGTCAATCAGGACGACGGATAAGACTTCCCCTTCCAGCCAGCAGCAGAGAGACGTCCCTTTGCTGGTCGCAGACCGTTCTGCGACTCGGGACCACAATCACAATCAGTCGCACGCTCGCTCGTTCCCTCCAGTTGCGTTGCGCCCCGCGTCCGCCCACTCCATCTTTCACCTGGCTGTGCATTCCAGCCCATGTGGGTAACCTGACCTGTCGGACTGTTATCTTCCTCTCTCTCCCCCCCCCCCCAAAACTCCTCTCTCCCCTCTCCCCCGGTTCATATTCCGTTCCGGCCTTGCGTCATTCAGGGCGTGTTTTTACGCGCATGACGTCAGGACAATTCGTGTCATTTCAGATTTGCCCGTCAATTTTGCCAGTGGTTTTAGATGTTGACACGAAGTAGCTTGAACTTGTGTCACGTAGGAGCAGGCCCACAACAGCCTTCCTGTCCGTTTCCTCCATTTCTTCCGTCCCTCGCACTGCAATTCATCATGCCTGCATTCCTTCTGCCAAGCAGGCCTCCAGTTCCGCACCCAGCCAAACCAAAAACCTGTTGGAATCCTCTGTTTCTCCCGCATTCATAACTGGTTCAGCTCACCTGGTCCTCCCACCCACCACTACCGCTGAAAAGTGCTCCTAGCTTCCAGAGCAGCCTTGAGCGCGGTCCACTTCCTCTACTTCTTCGCTGAGTACCAAGTACTTTGACGCGATTTATTCGAGCTACTGCTTGGCACAGGGAAGTCGCTAGCGACCGGGATTTCAAGGCCGCCTTCCTTTCGTTTTTGAGCCGTTCTACCCCTCTCTTTGTACTAGTCAGATCCCATGGCCAGGACTGCCATATTTCGTTTTACTTCGCGAGACGCGGTCGCGAGAACCGGCATCGCCGGCCGTGCTAGCACGACCGCGAAGCTATCGACCAGCAGGCCTAGCACCGCTCGCGCCTGCGCACCTTGCGCCACCGTGTCGCCGTCATGCCACTCCGTCTGTCGCATCGAGTCACAGTTCCTCGCGAAACGAAGCTTCCCGTCGCTGGGGTCTGGGTCCGCGTTTGACGCCCCGAGCTGGTCCTCCGTGTCGTCCGCCTGTCGGCGCTGCGTCAAGGTCTCGGCGCGGCTCGCCCCGCCGGAGCGGCCCGCCGCAACGCCGAGCGAGGAGCGGACCGCGCGGCCGCCGGACGGCGACGCGTGGGAGCGGCTCGAGAAGGCGAACGGTGCGGCGGTGCGCGAGGAGAAGCGCGAGGCGCGTGAGACGCGGGAGAAGGCGCGCCATGTGAGCATGGTGGTGAAGGTGTGCGGCGAGGACCAGGAGCCGCAGATCACGTGCGCCAAGGTGCACGACCACCCCACGCTCGTGCTCATGCGACACGGCGAGAGCATGTGGAACGATTTGAAGCTCTTTACCGGGTGAGTGGCGCGCTGCCTGTGACCGTGTCCTTTCAGTTGATAGCGCCCGATCGTCCCGTCTGTCTGTAACCGTCAGCTGTCTTGAATGTCCCCTCCTGCTCGCAGATGGTGTCGGATACTTCCACGGATTTGTCCACTTTCAAACATCGTCCCCTGCCCATCCCCTACTCTCTCTGAAACCCGCCACGTCACAGTGACGTGGACATTCCGCTGACGGAGCGCGGCGTGATGGAGGCCATGGCGGGCGGGCGGTCCGTGGCGGAGATCGACTTCGACATGATCTTCACGAGCCGCCTCGTGCGGTCGAAGCAGACTGCGCTGCTCGCGATGACGCAGGTGAGCGTCTTATGGCGCCGTGACCCGGCTGATCGTCCTGAGTCGCGTGTTGGAGGGTGTCATGAGCCGGCTCGTGCGGTGCAAACAGACTGCGCTGCTTGCGCGACTGCCAAGATAATCCCAAGTTAGTGGCAATTAAGCAGGCGAGAGACATGTGGCGTTAGTGGCAATTAAGCAGCTTCTTTTTTTTTTTGGTGGGTGGGGGGTGGGGAGGGGAAAGGGCGTACGAACTTCGCAGGCGAAGGAAGCGATTTTACGCATGTCGAGCTGTTTTCGTTTTTTTTCGTGAATTTTTCCGTTTTCGCCCGTTGTTTTCGCAGAGCGTGCACAAGGCGGTGCCTGTGATCGTGCGCGGCGGCTACTACGGGCGCGGCAAGACGGGCGACGAGAACCGCCTCAGGCTGCGGGAGGCCGCGGCGCAGGCGCTGAAGCAAGCCGCGTGCCGCATGATCCCCGTGTACGCGGACCCCAGGCTCAACGAGCGCTGCTACGGCGATCTGCAGGTGATTTCCGATGTTCTAAAAAAGCAGGCGTGTGGTATTTAATTTTCGGTCTCACTTCTTTCTCCGTCTTTTCCCTTTCCCCTCGTCTCTCTTAACCATACCCCTCCACATCTCCTCTTTTTTTGTTTTTTAATATAATTTCTCACTCCAGGGTTTGAATAAGGAGGCAGCGGCGAAGGAGTTTGGGCACGAGCAGGTGGCGATGTGGCGGAGGAGCCACGACACGCGCCCGCCCAAGGGGGAGAGCCTGCTGGTGAGCCTCTATTCTCGTGCTGTACTCGATATGGAGTGACCCCATGGTGCTGATCCTAGAGTAGAATTGAGTGTCTGTAGTTCAAGTAGTGACCCGCGTGCCAAGTAGTTCTCCTACTAGGTTGGATAGGAGGGTCGGTTGGATAGGAGGACGGGATTGGTTGTCGAGTAGTTCTCCTAGGGAACTCTCAACCAAAGGTAGAAAGCTCGAGGCAATTTTGGGACATTTGGTTCGCGGGTTTTAAGGCCACCATTGGTATCATGCTCCCTCCCTTGACCATTTGTCACATGTGCATAGGGAATTTCAGAATGACATTGATTCCTTCTCATGTACCCGTTATTACATTCCCCATGGCACATCAGGAGCGCACTCTAGCCTTCTTCCTACCAACAGTGGAGCCACTGCTAGCTGAGGGCAAGACACCCTCCTGGTGGTGGCGCTTGCAACATGCTCCAGCTACCCCCCCTCACACGCATCCCCCCTCCTGTACTCGTTATTGCATTCCTCATGACACTTCTGAGCGCACCCGGGCATCGTTTCGTCTGAAGTGGAGCCGCGGCTGGCAGAGGGCAAGACTGTGCTGGTGGTGGCGCATGGCAACGCGCTTCTGCTGCCCTCCTCTCTTATTCCTCCCCCCTGCTGTACCCGTTATTGCAGGACACCTCTGAGCGCACGTTGGCCTTCTTCCTGTCGACGGTGGAGCCACGGCTGGCAGAGGGCAAAAACGTGCTGGTGGTGGCGCACGGCAACGTGCTGCGCTGCATCATCTCGTACCTCTGCGACCTCTCTGAGCTCGAGATGCTGCGACTGCACGTGAGCACGACTCTCCTCCATCACTCCCCTGCCATCCTCTCTCCTCTCCTCCCTTTCCTCTCAACGCTTTGCCTATGATGGCAAGAACCGTCCTCCCCCTCCCTCTCTCTTATGTCTCAACTGTCCAACCGTCCTGTTCTCTCCCATCCTCCCTCCCCCCCCCTGCAGATCGGCACGGCGCATCCCTACTGCTTTGCTTTCAACGGCGAGGAGTATGCGCAGTGCTGCGCGCTGCCGCCCGTCGACCCGTACACGCAGCGGCCGCGCCAGAACGTGCCGATTGGGCTTGTGTCCGCTCTCAAGTCGGCACGCACTGAGGAGGTTGACTCGCTCATTTAGAAGGCCGACCTCTTGTTGCCTGACAGCAGCGGCCCCGCCTGAAAGTGCCGGTCGGCCTCGTCTCCGCTGTCAAATCGGCGCGCGCCGAGGAGATGGACTCACTCGTCCAGAACTGGTTGTGGCAGTACGTTGCAGTGGTTCTAGATGAGTGAGGCTGACTGCAGCGGCTGAGGCAGAACGTGGCAGTTGACTGTTGACTGGCTCTCAAATCAGTGCACACTGAGGAGATTGCTTTGTCGGTCTCGATGGGACGAGCAGCAGGGGGCTTTGTAGGGGGGATATGGGGAGTGTGTGGTGTGTGGTGTATCCTTGAAGGGGCCAACGAGAGCCTGCGTTCATATGGTGTAAATATGGGCCGGTGCTTGAGTGTCATGGCTACACCATTCTGACTCGGGTTTTGCTATGTGGATGTATTTTATTGTACGGTTGTGGAGTCACAGGCGCTGCAGCTGGTTTACCGACCATGCTGTTTTTCCAAGTGCCATCCCGATGTCCATACCTAATCTTCCCTTCCCTGTACTCTGTTAACGTAGAAACGAATGATTACTAGAGGTGGAAACCTAGAACAAATACTAGTTGGTTGTACTCACTAGAAGCATACCTCAGTCTAGCCTATAACTTCTTCATAGATAATATGTATAAGTTGACACACCCCCTAGGCTAGACAAGGGGTGAAACGAAACAAGAAGCAAACAGCTCAGGGCGGCACTACTAGTCCAACCACTGAGGCAGGGGTCTGGAGACCAGTCAGCAAGAATACAACCAAAACTGAAGCAAGCCAGGGTGGCACTACTAGTCCAGCCACTGGAGGTAAGGCCACAAGGCCAGTCTGACAAGCATATATAATAGAGAGTACACAATCAGGATCCTAACAGGGGAGCAGCTACAGGAACAAGACCAAGCTGTACACAGTGCCGCTGATGATCTTTAGGCGCAAGCGCCTTAGTAAAGATATCAGCTGTGTTGGCACCTGAGGCCAAGTGAACTACGCGGGCCTGGCGGCGCTGCTGTAGCTCGCGCAGGAGGAAGTACCGCAGCTGGATATGCTTCGCTCTGCCCTCAAGCCGAGGCTCCTGACACAGGAGTATCATGGCCCTGTTGTCAGCGTACAGGACCGGGGCAGAGCTAGGCCGCTCACCTAAGTCTGTGAGCAAGAAGGTCAGCCAGCGGAGCTCCTGTGCCGCCATGGCACCAGCGTAGATCTCAGCCTCACAGCTAGACTGAGCCACAGACGACGAGAGAGTGGATCTCCAAGAGATAGCACCCGAACCAAGGCTGAAACAGTAGCCCTGCGACGACCTGAGCGTCTCAGCGTCGTCTGCCCAAGAAGCGTCTGTGTGCCCAGTAAGGACCACTGGCCTGCGTCCTCCTAGCACTAACCCCATGCCTGATGTACTAGCAAGATAACGCAAAACCCTCTTAGCGGCAGACCAGTGCTGAGGTCGGTGTCTGCCTGTAGCCACAAAGCGAGCCAGGATGCTGAGAGGGTATGCGAGATCTGGGCGAGTGCAAGTCATCAGGTACATGAGGCAACCCACCAGCTCTGCGTAGGGGCCACTGGGCTCTACTGACTCCTCAGGAACGGGAGCAGAGAGCCCATGGTCTACGGGTAGAGGTGTGGGCTGTGCAGAGGAGAACTGAAGACCGAACCTCTGAAGGACCTGACGCACCAAGTGTGACTGGGTCAGAGTGATGGTGCGTGCTGCTCTGTCCCTAGAGATCTGCAGGCCAAGATAGCGACGCAGCTCTCCAAGGTCAGTGCAGGTGTGTCTCTTCAGCAGCTCAGCCTTCACAGAGGCCAGTGCGTCCCTGTCAGGAGTAGCGAAGACCAGGTCGTCTACGTAGACAAGGATGTAGAACGGAGTCTGGCCGGAACGCACAAACAGTGAAGGGTCAGCAGAGGACGGAAAGAACTGCAGGTCTGCTAACGTGGCACGTAGCGTGTCGTGCCACTCGCGGGGAGCCTGACGCAGGCCGTAGACCGGGCGCCTGAGAAGCCACTGGGTCCCAGGAGGGAAGGTACCAGTGAAGCCCTGTGGTCGGCGCAGGTAGACCTGCTCGTGTAGGCTGCCCTGAAGAAAGGCAGTAGAGAAGTCGAGGGAGTGAAGCTCGTAGTCACGCTGTGCTGCTACGTGTAGCAGCGCCCGAAGAGTGGTCATCTTCGGGGTCGGGGCGAAGGTCTGGAAGAAGTCAACCCCCTCGCGCTGACTGAAACCTCTGGCCACGTAGCGCGCCTTGAAGACAGGCGGCTCTCCAGGGGGGCGCTTCACCTTGAAGAGCCACCGACCATCGACTACGTTCACCCCAGGCGGGGGAACTGCGTCGACGTAAGTGCCGGTGGATCTCCAAGATGCCATCTCCTGCTCCATGGCAGCTATCCACTGAGAGGCCCAAGGTCCCGAGGTGGCCTCAGCGTAGGTGCGAGGGGTCGGGATGTCGAAGGCGTCTGGGTCACCCTCAGGGACTAACAGCATGGAGCAGAGATGGGGAGCAGCCTCGGAAAGGAAAGCCAGCTCGTACTGCCTGTCCTCTAGGACGTCACTGCCAAGGGCAGGAGCACCCCCGACGGACAGAGGACGGGCAGGGTCAGAGACCAGAGCGGTAGCGTAGTCAAGGCGGCGGGTAGAGGCGAAGTCAGCGACAGCAGCGACAAGCGCGTCAAGGCGCGAGACAGGAACAGCAGGGTCGGTAACAAGAGAGGCAAGGACCCGAGGGACAAGGGGACGAGCAGCACGGAGGTAGTCAGAGAACGGAGGAGGTGCAACAGCAAGGGACGAGGGAGGAGGGGACGGGAGGAGGGGAGGACGAGACGAGTGGGAACGGAGCAACGTAGGGTGGGTGGGCAGGACAGGAGAGACGGGACGAGCACGGGAGGGACGGCGAGCCCAAACGTGAGACGGAGGGGTAGGGTCAGGGGACAGCGGAGGAGACACACGAGGGGAACGAGGAGGAAGACGGGCCGGAGACGAGTCTGGCGGCGGGAACACAGGACCGTAGACAGAAAGGTCAGGAGGCGGTGGGGGAGACACCGGCGCGCGGTCCGGGGAGGGAAGGCCGAGCAGGCGGAGAGCGGAAACCGGCGGCGACGGCTGCTGCGGCGGCGACGACGGCTGGGCCGGAACTCTCGGACCAGCAGAGGCAGAACGACCGTCGGCAGAACACTCAACAGCAGCACCCCCAGAACCAACACCCCCAGAGCGAGAACCCCCTCCAACACCAGCGGCACCCCCAGAAGCCGCAGGACGAACACCCTCCTCCACACCAGCACCCCCAGGGGCCGAGAGCAGCGGCGGCAGTGGCGGCAACGGCTGCGGCGGCGGCGACAGCGGCGACGGCTGCGGCAGCGACAGCGGCGGCGGCGGCGACGACAGCGGCGACGGCTGCGGCGGCGACGGCGACGGCGGCGGCAGCGGGGTCGGCGACTGCGACAGTGGGGGCGGAGGCACCGGGGAAGGGGGACGCTGCAAGGACGGACCGGGGGTACCACCAGAGTCAGCAGACTCCTCAACGGGGACAACCGACGGGAGGGGAGTGACGTGGGAGACACCAGACGGGGCAGGACGAGGCGGGAGAGGGGCAGGGGCTACCGGGGGAGAGGGAGCAAGGAAAAGGGGGGGGCAACTGGGAGACCTCGGTGAGGGAAGCGGCGGTAGAAGGAGACGGACTCGTCAAAGGTGACGTCACGAGAGTGGAGGAAGCGGTGAGACGGCGGGTGGTAGAAAAGCCAGTCAGACGAGTCCAGGGGGAAACCGAGGAAGACACAGGGGACAGTACGGGCAGTGAGCTTGTCCGTGCCAGAGGCACGAACGTGAGCAAGGCAGCCCCAGACGTGGAACGCAGACGCGTCACCGGGGGACCCGGTCCAAAGGAGGGTCGGCGAAACCTGCGGCCGCTGGGAGCGTGGCCACAGGTTAAGCTGGTGAGCCGCGTAGCGAACAGCGAACGGCCACAGAAAATGGGGGGCATCGGCATGGATCATGGAGGTACGGGCGACCTCCATGACCAAGCCGATGCGGCGCTCAGCAACCCCATTCTGCTGTGGCGAGTCCGGCAACGTGTACGACTGGGTGATGCCCTCCGCACGACAGAACTGTCCAAGCCGACCAGAGGCGAACTCGCCGCCACGGTCGGAGTGGAGACACAACACGGGGAGACCGCGGTGGAGACGCGCAGCCACAACCCACGGGAGAAGAACGTCGGGCACGTCGGCCTTCCGCTCCAGGGGAAACACCGTGGTGTAGCGCGTGTAGTCGTCGACGAGCACAAGGAAGTAGCGCTCACCGCGCGGTCCGGGGACGGGGGCAGGGCCCCAAACGTCCAAGTGCAGGGTCTGAAGGGGGGCAGTAGCAGGACGCAGCGAGGAGGAGTGAGGAGCACGGCGGAGCCGACCCTCGACGCAAGGCGTGCACGGTGGCGCAGTCGAGGGAGGAAGGGCAGGGAGCGACGCGGGGAGACCTAAGACAAGACCGTGCTGGGACATGTGACGCAGACGCGGGAGAGCAGGGTGACCTAAGCGGTGGTGCCAGAGAAGGGAGGGGTGAGTGAGGGACCGACACGAGCAAGCTGCAGCGACCTGGGAGGACGCACCAACCGGGGGGGAAGCGGTGTGTAGGGTAAACAGACCGGACACCGGGTCCCGGGGGAACGTCGCAAGGGGGGAACCTGAGACAGCCTCAGAACAGACAGCGAACCGCTCGTGCCCGGGGAACGTGGTGGTGACGCCGAGGTCCTGGAGACAGCCGACACCAACCAGGTTCCTGGAGAACGAGGGAACGTGGAGGCCAGTAAGGGAGCCCGAGGGAACTGCCGGACAAGGAAGGGACGTAGAACTGCGCGCGACGACCGGACCCGCAGAGGGGTCAGCGAGAGAGACAACAGCAGGTGCAGCAAGCGGCGTGAGCGTGGAACGGTCGCGGAAGAAGCAGGCAGAAGCACCAGAGTCGAGAGTGAAGGACAGCGACGCAGTGGTGGAGGCCGGGGACGGAGCCGGTGCAGCGACTAGACTAGGCAACCTAGGCAGTCCTACGCCTGTCGCAGCAGGGGAAGCTAAGCTACACAAGGGTGAAACACCTAAACTAGAGTACACAGGGTAGTAACATCCAGCAACACTAGAAGCGTCAGCATACAAAGCATGCAAAGCAGCACCTATCTGATCCATGTCTAACTCAAAGATCGGCACGCCCTGGCGGAGTAGGCTGTGCCAGTCAGGGAGGTCCGGGGCCGGGCCAAAGCGACGACGAAAAAGATCGTCGAGGCGGCGGAAACAGCGGGCGGTCGGGTGCGGGCGGCGGCACAGAGTGCCGCGGAGAGGCCCGGTCTGAAGCTGGTACTGGCAGGTCACAGCACTGGAGCCGCTGGTAGACGCCAAGCTGCGCGGGCCGCCACCACGGCCACCGCCTCCGGAGGTGCCGGGCCAACCAGGCGGGAGACGAGCCCACGGCTGCGGCGGGTGCTGCTGGGACGGCGGCTGCGGCTGGGGCTGGTCCTGCTGCTGCTGGGGCTGCTGCTCCTGCCCACCGGTGGTAGTCCCCTCAGGCGGACTACCGTCACCACCACCACGACCACTACCACCTGCGTCACCACCCCTACCTCCCTGGCGGCCACGGCCACCGCGACGCGAGCGCTGCTGCGGGTGGACAGCAGCAGCCGTCTCGGTAAGAGGGGTCGCCGTGGCGACCGCAGCCGAAACGTCAGTGAACGTGCACTGGGATGGGGCACAGCCGTGAAAGATAGAGACTGCCGGCGCACCGCTCGACTGAGCGATAGTGCGCTGGCGAGTCTCGATCTCAGTGAGGGTGTCGACAAAGGCGATCAGGGTGAGATCACCCGGGTGCTGGCTAAGAAAGTGGTCGCGAGCACTAGCGAGGCGGTCTGGCAGGCGCATAGCGATAAAATAGAGCGTCATGCAGAAAGGAGGGGGGAGCGCAGTGAGCTGGGCAGCAGTGCTGGCAGTGCGATAGCGAGTCTCTAGGGCACGCAAATGAGTGGCAAAGTCTGCGACAGTAGGGAAGGCAGCCAGGTCTGGGAACAGCATCGGAAAGAGCAAGCGGCCAGCAGAAGCGGAGGCAGGGGTGGAATAGCGAGCAATAACGGCGTCTAAATAAGCTTTGGCCGTTTCAACAGTAGCAAAACGCGAGCGCTCAGACACAGGGAGGGCGTGACTAATAGCAACCTGAGCTACTGCATCGCGTGAGTCCCAGACCGCACAGGCCAGCGCAGCAGTAGAGAAAGCCTCACGGTCATCAGAGGAGGGGTCAGCAGGGAGGGGAGTAGGTGCAGGGGGACGGGGGAGCAAGCCATCAGCATGGACAACCAGAGAGTGGCCATCCTGGCGCTGACCTGTAAGCTGGCGGCGGAGATCGGAGAGCCAGGCGGCGAAGTCAACCGCGTGGCCCTCAGCGTCCAGGCGGAGCACAAAGTCAGCCATCGTGCAGGGTCAGCGGCACAGCTCCTCAGCGACACAGCGGCACAGCAGCACAGCTCCTCAGCGGCACAGGAGCACAGCGGCGCGGGGACACGGCGGCAGCACTCTCCAGTAGGGCAGCAGCTAGGCGTCCCAGCGCAGGCGAGCAGAAGACACAGGGCCCGAGAGGACACGGCAGGCCGAGCAGGGGAGGCGGGCAGGTGCTCTGGGGCCGGGCTGGTGCTGGGAGGGGCGAGGCTGGTGCTGCTGGGGCCGGTCGGGCACGAGGAGGGGCCGGGCAGCGCTGAGGAGAGGCCGGGCGGCGCTAGGAAGGGGCCGGGCGGCACTAGGAGGAGGCCGAGCGGCACTAGGAGGCCAGGCAGGCGAGCGCTAACAGCAGGCGCGACAGGGGCCAGCGGGCGCGACGAGGCCTAAGGGGCGCGACGGGGCCCAGCGGGCACGACGGGGCCCAGGGGGGGCGCGACGGGGCCGAGGAGGCGCGACGGGGACCAGCGGGCACGACGGGGCCCAGGGGGGGCCGCGACGGGGCCTAACGGGCGCGACGGGGCCCAGGGGGGGCGCGACGGGGCCTAGCAGGCGCGACGGGGCCTAGGAAGCGCGAAGGGGCCCAGCGGGTGCGACGGGGCCTAGGAGGCGCGACAGGGCCCAGCGGGCGCGACGGTGCCCAGAGGGGGCGCGACGGGGCCTAGGAGGCGCGACGGGGCCCAGCGGGCACGACAGGGCCTAGGAGGGGCGCGACGGGGCCGAACGGGCGCGGCGGGGCCCAGAGGGGGGGGGACGCGACGGGGCTTAGGAGGCGCGACGATGCCTAGGAGGCACGACGGGGCTCAGCGGGCTCGACGGGGCCCATGGGGGGCGCGACGGGGCCTAGGAGGCGCAACGGGGCCCAGCGGGGGCGCGTTAGGGCCTAGGGGTCGCGACGGGGCCCAGCGGGCGCGACGGGGCCCAGGGGGAGCGCGACGGGGCCTAGGAGGCGCGACGGGGCCCAGCGGGCACGACGGGGCCCAGGGGGGCGCGACGGGGCCTAGGGGGCGCGACGGGGCCTAGGAGGCGCGACGGGCGGAAGCGGTAGGCGGGGGGATCCTAACCTAAGCGTGATACCATGTTAACGTAGAAACGAATGATTACTAGAGGTGGAAACCTAGAACAAATACTAGTTGGTTGTACTCACTAGAAGCATACCTCAGTCTAGCCTATAACTTCTACATAGATAATATGTATAAGTTGACATACTCAATGTCTTTCTAGTAAGGAAATAGTAATTCCTTTCCGAGGCTTGCTACAGGGTGTGCAACTCGATAGGGTTCCATTCCATACCTTTCAGTCCGAACCTCCTGGGCTTTTCTGGACCTCGTTAGACACATCGAGGCCTTCCGACACTTTTCCCAAACCTCCTGATCCTGAGTCCAGGATCTCCCTGGGTTTCCTATATGCTGTGTTGTCTTTCATTTTATTGTCCTTCACTCGTTCACAGTTTCGCCATTGCCCTCCGCGCTACTAGGTAGTTCTACTCATAACAGCTGGGCAAACAGAGGTACAATGTTACATTGCAAATAACAAAGAATTGGATAGAGTTCACGTACCAGAACGCTAAACAGTGATACAGCAAGCTACAACTCAGGGTAGCTGAGAACACAGGGTTAGTACTAGTAGGCTGTCAGACTTCCAAGTAGCCCTAAATTATGTATCAAGGAACACCTCCTTCTGACCTACTGTCCATATCATGATTCATCTACGGGAAGTCACCTACGAAGTATAGTAGCACCAGTTCACACACGCACTTGGTGAGGTCTAGGCCACATACTGCAAGGAGGCAGACAGACACGTCTGCTATAGCAGCTTAATCCCTCCAATCCTTGGATCCCTCCTCCCTCCAATCCCTCCTTCCTCTATCCCCTTCGCATTCTTGGATCCCTCCTCTCTGCCACACTCCCCTTCTCACTCCTACCTCCTTCCCCATCCATAGCCCTCTTTTTCTCTCCTCTCCCCTTCTCCCCATCCCCTCCCACTCCTCCCGAACCTCCGTTGCTTTGGCCCGAACCAAAGCTCCGCCGCTGGTCAGCCGCACCAGCTGCAGTTGGGCCCCGGGCTTGGGCCGAGCCTCGCCCCGAACCTCCCTCCAAGGCTGGACCCCCGCCACGCCCACCAGAAGCACCGACATTCCTAGCAATCCTGGGATCACTGCTCTTGGTGTTACCAACCATAGGGTTACCACTCGTAGGGTTACCGGTGGCATTCACGGTTCTGCTTCCCCCTTGTCTCTCTCCCATTCCAGCCTTTGCTGTGCTTCCCCCAGTAGTCACCCCTGCAGGTTGCCCCCCCCCTCGTCCTCCTCCTGCTGCTCCTGCTGCTCCCTCTCTCGCTCTCGAAGCCTGAGCCCCTACTTTGGCCCCATTCCTTCTCCCTCCCTCCTTCTCATCCTCCTCCTCACTCTCCTCCTCATCCTCATCATCCGAATCATCATCTGAATCGTCGTCGTCATCATCATCATCATCATCATCATCATCATCATCATCATCATCAGAATCATCCTCCTCCTCCTCCTCCTCCTCCTCCTCTTCCTTCTGACTCCCTCTCTTGTTCCCTGCCTGACGCGCACCTGCACTCCCCCCCTTCCCCCCACTTCCACCACTTCCTCCCCCCCACCACCACCACCCATATGCATGGACATCCCATAACCATTGGAACCCATGGCAGTAGCCCCAGCACCCATATTCATACCCATACCCATACCCATATCCCCCATGCCCCCCATGCCCCCCATGCCACCCATACCCCCCATATCCCCCATCCCCATTCCTCCCATACCCATGCCCATATGCATGCCCATTCCTCCCATCCCACCCATACCGTGGCCCATGCCTCCTCCCATGCCCGCCCCCATCCCTCCTCCCATCCCTCCCCCCATGCCCCCCCCCATGCCCCCTCTCCCCTGCGCCTGTGCTTGCTGCTCCATCATTCTCTTCTTCTCTGCCTCCCGTGCGGTTGCCTGGGAGGGGCGAATGGAGGGGGTGAGAAAAAGGGATGGGTAAAGCAAGAAAGCAGCTGGAAGTGGCTGCTTCATCATTCTTTTCTTCTCTGCTTCCCGAGAGGTTGCCTGGGGGAGGGGAGAATGGAGGGAGAGAAAAAGTGACGGGTGAAGGGAGAAGCAAAGCAAGCATACAGCTAGAGGCGGCTGCTCCATGCGTGAGGAGTCTATTTTTGAGGCGCCTAAAAAATATACGGCTAGAGGCGGCTGCTCCATCATCCCTTCATCTGCTGCTTCCCGTGCAGCTGCCTGGGAGGGGCGAAGCGGCACGAGGAGAGGCACGAGAAGGGCGAGCAGACACGAGAAGGGCGAGCACGCGCGAGAAGGGCGAGCACGCACGAGAAGGGCGAGCAGACACGAGAAGGGCGAGCACGCGCGAGAAGGGCGAGCACGCACGAGAAGGGCGAGCAGACACGAGATGGGCAAGCAGACACGAGATGGGCAAGCAGACACGAGATGGGCGAGCAAGAGAGCAAAGCGGGGAGCATGGGAACAGAAGCAGCAGGTTACGGCACGGGAGGAGGCGAAGACAAGTTGGGGATAGCAGCTTACCGTCACTAAGGGTTCCACTATCTAGTAATCATTTGAAGCAGCTCGAAAATAGCCAGCTCTAAAGGATACAGACCAGCGAAGGAGCTTCTGGCTCACAATACAGAAGTGCCGTGCACTGCTTGTGCACACACGGCTCCACCTCCTGGCAGTCGTTTGAGGCACCTCAACTCACCAGCACAAGGGTCATTCTCCAGTCCCCCTGAAACTTTTGAGGCGCCTCAAAAGTCGTTTGAGGCACCTCAACTCACCAGCACAAGGGTCATTCTCCAGTCCCCCTGAAACTTTTGAGGCGCCTCAAAAGTCGTTTGAGGCACCTCAACTCACCAGCACAAGGGTCATTCTCCAGTCCCCCTGAAACTTTTGAGGCGCCTCAAAAGTCGTTTGAGGCACCTCAACTCACCAGCACAAGGGTCATTCTCCAGTCCCCCTGAAACTCCCCCCGAAACACGTACCAGCAGGGGAGCGTCTGGCTCGCGATACAGAAGTGCAGTGAGCTGCTCGCCCACACAAGGCTCCACCTCCTGGCAGTCGCGGCTGATCTTGACCGGCTGGTTGTCATTGTACTGGTTACGCAGGTGGCGCGTCTTGTTGAACGACAACTCGCACAGCTGGTCAAGGGATAAACGACGATGGGAGGACACATGTGAGGAGGGTTAGGGGTGGAGAGTCTATTTTTGAGGCGCCTCACAAAAGGAGGGTAAGGGGGGAAGAGTGAGTGCAAGCAGTCGCGGCTGATTTTCACGGGCTGGGTTGTCGTTGTACTGGTTGAGCAGGTGGCGGGTCTTGTTGAAGGATAATTAGCACAGCTGAAGGATGGGAAAGAAGGGGGAGAGGAGTGAGGAAGGACTTCTTGTTGAGCGACAACTCCCTTCCCTTCCCTCTCACCTTGAGCGATCTGTTTCTAAAGTTCTGCCCACAGCTGCCCATACTCTGTACATGCTTGGTGCGGGACGCACCCCTTAGTCATTGGCTATTTCCTCCCCCCTTCCCCCTTCCCCCTTCCCCCTTCCCCCTTCCCCCCTCCCTCTCTCACCTTGAGCCAACTGATTCCGAAGCTCTGCCCACAGCTGCCCAATGCCCATACTCTGCTCATACTCGTTTTGAGGCGCCTCAAAACTAGACTCCTACCATACTCTGCTCATGCTCGGTGTGCTGAGGCGTGCTTTGAGGTGACTTGGAATGCGTGCATTGAGGACGCGCTAACACCCCCTCCCTCCCCCCTCCCTCTCTCACCTGGTGACTTTGAGTCGACTCAAAAGTCACCTCGTTACAATGTCACACAACACTCCCCCCTCCCTCTCGCACCTTCAGCCATCTGATCCGGAAGTTCTGCCCGTAGCTGCCCATTCTCTGGGCGTACTTCCACGGCCCTCCCCCCACCACCGCTCCTATGCGCGACATCATGAGCGCACAGCCCTGGGAAGACGAGAGGGGAAGAGGAACAAAAGGGAGGGGGTTGGCAAGGGGAAGGGGCGTGCGGGGATCATACTTCCACGGCCTTCCCCCCACCACCGCTCCTATGCGCGACATCATGAGCGCACAGCCCTTGACACGTGGGGGAGAGCGGGATGAGAGTGAGGATTGAGGGAGACAGCATAATTCCACGGCCCTTCCGCCACCATGGCCCCTGTGTGCGACATGATGAGCACACAGCCCTGGATGGATGCAGCGCCATGGAAAGGGATTAACGAATTGCGGAGAGAGTTGAAGTCACGCTGAGAGGGTAGTGGTAGCCTAAAGAGAAAACGCTACAGGAAACATATGCAGATTAGGATAGGATGCATAGACTGGAAAACGCCACAGGAAATATATGCAGATTAGGAGTGGAAAGCGCCACAGAAAATATATGCAGAGTAGAATTTAGGAGTGGAAAATGCCATAGACAATATATGCAGATTAGGAGTGGAAAACGCCACAGGCACACACCCACACACACCTTCAAGTCCACTGTCTCGCTGGTTTTTTAGGCGCCTCAATTTTTTTTTAGGCGCCTAAAAAAACCTGCAAGTCCCCTGTCTCGCTGACACTGTCTTGCACGCACGACTAATATGCCGCATCCAGCTTCCCCTCCCTCGGTGCTCCGCGTGGCATGCCTTACAAGGCCTAGGCACCTGATCTCTCACCTGGAAGTGCCGCCTGGTCTCGTTGACGGAGAAGATGAGAATGACGCTATCGCACGACTCATAAGCCTCATTCAGCTAAAAGCCGGCAAGCAGCCTCACATGAAAAGCCTGCTAGCTATTCAGCTGGAGGGGGCACTGCACCTGAAAATGCCTGGTCTCATTCACGGAGAAGATGAGGATGACGCTGTCGCACGAGTCGTACACCTCGTCCAGCTTCAAAGGTACCTGAAAGACCTGCTTTCGCGCACCTGAAAATGCCTGGTCTCATTCACGGAGAAGATGAGGATGACGCTGTCGCACGACTCGTACGCCTCGTCCAGCTTCGAAGGTACCTGAAAGACCTGCTTTCGCGCACCTGAAAATGCCTGGTCTCATTCACGGAGAAGATGAGGATGACGCTGTCGCACGACTCGTACGCCTCGTCGAGCTTCGAAGGTACCTGAAAGACCTGCTTTCGCGCACCTGAAAATGCCTGGTCTCATTCACGGAGAAGATGAGGATGACGCTGTCGCACGACTCGTACGCCTCGTTCAGCTTGCCCTCGTTGTTGCGGTGCGTCGCCCACATGCCCCTCTGCGCCGACAGCTCTAGGTTCTCCAGGTTGTTGCTCTTCACGATGAAGTACCTGCCGTGGGGGTGGGGTGGGGGTGGATACATTGCAACCGAAAGAGGAGAGAGGGGGAGAGGGTTTAGGATGGATACATCATCTCACCTTGTCGTGTTGTGCCGCCGGGTTGGGGGATGGGATGGCGAGACTCACAGGTGCTGCCGGTGCCACTGCTGCGATGGCTGCCTGCCATGCATCCATCAATCCAATTATTCCAATTATTCCAATCATTCCAATCATTCCAATTATTACAATTATTCCAATCATCCCAACCATCCCAATCACACCAATCATTGCTTGCAATCATTCCAATCATCTCACCTTGTGGTGCCGGGCGGAGGAGGAATGGCGAGACTCATTGGTGCGACCGGGGACATGGCTGCCTGAGGTGCATCCATCATCATCGCATCCCCATGCATCCCTCCCCCTCCTCCCCCTCCTCCTCCCATTCCCCCTCCTCCTCCTCCCATACCTCCTGTTCCTCCGGGTCCCATTCCTCCTCCCCCCATTCCTCCTCCCCCCATCCCTCCTCCCCCCATCCCCCCTCCTCCCATCCCTCCTCCTGCCATGTTTGGCTGCTGCTGCATCCCAGGCCCGGCCATGTGCCCTTGATTTGTCATCTGGCCCTGGCTTTGCACGTGCCCCTGATTTGGAACGTTTGCCTGATTCGGAACGTTTGCCTGATTTGGCATGTGCATCGGCCCTCCCCCTGTTCCCCCACCGGCAACAGCAGCAGCAGCACCACCACCACCGCCCCTTTCAGCAGCCCCCGAACCGCCTATCCCTCCTCCCGCCTCTGCCCCTCCCCTGGCATGCGCCACTCCATTCACACCCCCCCCTCCAGCCCCCCCTCCCCCTCCCCCTCCGCCTCCCCCTCCCCCAGTGGGTCCGCCTCCTGCTCCCCCTTCCGCCCTCCCTGTGCCATCCGCCTGCATCCCTTCTCCCCCTCCTTGCTGCCCCCCCTGCTGCCCCTGCCCCTGCCCCTGTTGCTGCTGCTGTTGCTGCTGCTGTTGCTGCCCTGTTTGCTGCGCTTGCTGGTGCACGGGAGCTGCCCCTACCCCTGCCCCAGCTCCCATCCCCCCTGCTGCCACTGGCGCCATATTCCCCCCTACAGGCCCTGCTCCCCCGCCTGCTTGCCCCATGGGACCCCCTGGGCCCATCTCCGCGCCTCCCCCCATTCCCCCTCCTCCCCCCACGCCCCCTCCCCCGCCTCCGCCCATTACCCCACCTGATCCGCCCCCCGGCCCCATTCCTCCCCCTGGTCCCATCCCCCCTTGCCCCATTCCTCCCCCCATGCCTCCCCCTACCCCCATCCCCCACCGCCATGTTGCCCAATCCCCCCGCCCCCATGCTGCTCCATCCCCCCAGGACCAGAAAAGAACCGCACAGGCTTGTTGCCTCCCCCCATGGGGCCCCCATTCCCCACCCCCATCCCCCCCATTCCTCCCCCCATACCTCCGCCCATGCCTCCCCCCATGCCTCCCCCCATGCCCCCTCCCCCTCCGCCCCCCATCCCCCCCGCGAAGTGGAAGGGCGGGCGCTGCTGCAGCTGCAGCTGAAACTTTTCCGCCAAGGCCTCCACAGGGGGGGGAGGTCCCGGCAGCTTTTGGTGTCGGTAGCGACAATCCGGCCCGTTCGGGCAGAACCCAAGCTTATACCTGGAGAGCGGGGGGGTGGGGAGTGGTGGGGAGTGGTTGAATGATGGGTAACAGGGATCGGGAAAATGAGAATCTTTCCTCAAGGAGAATGGCACATCGCATACAGTCACATACACTGAGTAGAGCCACGCTGCACTAATGTCACAGTCGAAACGACTCTAGCTAACTTCTTGTCCGCGTTAGATTCCAGCTGCAAACGCAAGGAAGGCAAATAACAGCAGGCAGCAGCACGAAACCATAGAGCTCATAATGCGTAAAAATAATCATGAATGAGGCCGTGAAGAGGCCAGAGCACATGCAATGGCAGGATGGCAGGATGGGGTTATGAATTTGCAAGCATGTGGGCATGCGAGGATGGAGAGGAATGAGGATGAGTGAAGCTGAGCGATCGCTGCAAAAGGAGGAGGTGAAAGGCAAGCTTTTATTATCAGGAAAAAGGGTTAACAAGAAATAATTGATGCAAAATTACAAGGGAGCGCCACACTCTCAGTTCCTACACCACCTACAAACGCCAGCCACACTTATATACACAATTCTGGGTACAGAATAAGGAGATAACAAAACCCCGCCACCACCAAAAGGAAACATGAGAATATACAGGATACAGGAATGGCGGATAAAGTAACCACCAATTGGTCTACTAACTCAAAACCATCAGCACGAGGCGATTAGAGACCTAAGAGGAGCAGAGGAGTAGCCGTCCCCCACATCACGTACACTTCGGGTAATTTCTGAGTCGAATGTAGAGCCCTCATCACGAACACTTCGGGTAACTTGAGAGTGGACTAAAAAACCCTCATCACGTACATATTGCATTCTTTCACGTCCTCATTGGTGTGCTTGTACACGCAGTCCGGCTCCCTGCACTCGCCCCAGCGCGCGAAGTACCGGCACACCGGCATGCGGCTCTTGTCATACTGGTGCAGGAACCCGCACTCCGCGCCCTTCATACACAGCCCGCGCAGCCAGTGCCGGCACACCGTCTGCCGGTAGTTCCGCCGGAATCCCCCCCCCGGGGGAGGCGGACCACCGTGCGCCCCCCCATGTCCCCCCCCATGCCCGCCCATATCATGCGGCGGCTGCTGGTGCGGTTGCTGGTGCTGCTGGTGCGGATGTTGGGGGAACTGCTGCTGCTGCTGGTAGGGGGGTTGCGGGTGCTGGGCCGATCCCGTGCCAAACCCATCGGGCCTTGCGCCGAAATTCCCGCCGGGTCCGCCAGGGCCGACGCTCGGCTCCGCGGCCGCGGCCGCACCGGCCGCAGGAGCGGGGACGGCGGTGCTGAAGGCGGGCGCGGAGGGCGGGAGCGGCCCGGGGCCGAGGGTTTGCTCGAAGTCGAAATCATCTAGAGCATCGTAGTCGTCCATTGGGGACTGTAGCGGGAATCGAAGCGGATTAAGACGCGAACGGACGGAGCGAAGGAGCGCGCTCTCAGGGCGTTCTGAAGCGGCTCGAGTCAGCCGCGATGCGAAGCACGGAGCGGTGGTGTGCGGCGATCGAAGCGAGACTTTTGAGAATTCTCAGAAATCTCTCAGAAATCTCTCACAAGTCAGCCGCCGCAATGCGAAGCACGGAGTGGTGGTGTGCAACGAGTGAAGCGAGACCCCTCAAACGTAGCGACGATTCGCGACGCCTCGACTCGACTCGACGCAACACAAGCGAGGTTCGCGTCGGTACGACGGTCTGTAGTTCGCTCGCGTTAACGGCACGGCATGCTGCCAACTAACAGCACCAACGGAGACAATTCCAAGCAGCGAAACCCCAACGGCCGAGCTAGCGCAAACCCTAGAATCCGATCACTCTCCGCCAGCTGCGGTTCGAGACAAGACTATCCGTTCCGGGCTAGCTTTCCTTAGCGGCTTCATCCCCGTTCGCCACGCAGCTCTCAAGGTAACAACGCCAGATCGAGTGCTTGCTAGTTGTCACTGCAGCCTGCGGAGTCTTGATCCTAGCACACCAGCAACCGCCATGACCAGTTGGGAAACTTACGTTATCTTCGAGGTTCGAGTGAGGATGTGATTTCGAAATGCGTCAGGGGAGATACAAGCAGGAGTTTGAGGCGGTGTACAGGGTGTTGTCAGTGTGATTAAATCGCGTCTACACCACTTCCCCAGGAGTTGAGAAACGTATACGGCCAGTATACGAGTCAAAACATCATACAATCTAAACGCAAAATGCTATATATCCAGATCATCATCAGGGTCTTCGTCCGAATCTGGGTATTCGTCATCCGAATCACGCTCATAATGAATCAAACCCCCACCTTCGTTCCACTCGCCCCCACTTGCCCCCACCGAAACCCTAGCCATACCAGCTGAAACAGTAGCACCAACTGAACCCTCTCCGTAAATCTTTGCCCCCTTGATGTGGCTTGGCGCAAGGCTCCTTCTCCCGTCGTATATCTTGATCGGGCCAGTTTCACCTGGATACGGGCCGGAAACACGAGGAGGAAAATGAAACCAAACGCCATCAAGCCAAAGAGAAGAGCATAGAGTAAGAGAGAGACAAGGTGAGGAGGCGAAAAGAGATGAGGAAAGAGACGAGCAAGCCATGCAGGGAAGTGGGAGGGGTTGGGAGTGGTTGGGAGCGGTGGTAGGGGGTGGGAGGGGGTGGGAGGGGTTGCAACCAACCTCGGTGCTCGTATGGAAGCACAACTTTCTCTCTCGCTGCTCGCTCCTCCACAGACAACTCCAGGCGGAAGGAAACCTGCGACAGGGAAGGTGTGAGGGGCAGAGGAAAGACGCACGAAAGTGGCGAAGGGAAGGACTCTCCACCAGCCACTCACCAACACACCAAAAGACTCTCCTTCCAGGGCTTTCCACTCACCAGCCAGTCCCTCGCCAGTCGATTATATTTCTTAGGCGATTGAAAAATATACTTTCCACTCACCAGCCACACACTCGCCAGTCGAATCACCTCAACTGCCACTCACCTCAGGTGCCTGATCTCCCGTCTTCCCGATCACCTCTTGAGTTGACTCAAGAGTCACTTTTGAGTCGACTCAAAAGTCGAGAGTCACGAGTCACTTGCATCACACAGACAGATGATTTCAACTGCCGCTCACCTCAGGTGCCTGATCTCCCGTCTTCCTGATCACCTCTACAGCTGCCGCCTCCTCGCTCCCTCCCTCCCTGCACGCCCCATCCATTACCCCGCCGTCATGCACCGTCATCCGCCCCTCTCGCCCATGCGCCTGCCCCTTATCTTGCTCCCCGAACCCTTCCCTGTGGGATCTGTCGGCCAGAGGCTGCTGCTCCGCGCTTGGAAGAGATGGCTTCAGGCCGCCTGTGCTTTTGCCACTGGCAGGGGCGGGTTCTGGTATGCTTACGTGCCCTTTGGAGTGGGCGTCTATGTGCACAGCCCCTTGCGAGTCAAACCGATACTCCTCGTGCTGATTTGAAGGTGCGTGGAGGTACGTGGAGGGGGGAAGCGGGGCGAGGAGAGTTGGGTTTGGTCTGGTTGTGGTGTGTGCACAGGGCTCTTGGAGTGGGCATCTATGTGCAGGGCCCCTTTAGGAGCACCAAGGAGCAGAGACAAGACCATGACAGTTTAAGCAAGATAACCTACCGCGGTTCGGAATTTTCCCGAAGCCCTCTTCTGCTGCAACACCAGGATCCCTCCAGGCAGCAAGTGCCTATCCCCCCTTCCAGAGCTGCTGGTACTGCCGTTGCTGCTGCTGCTGCTGCTGCTGGTGGTGGTTCTACTTGTGCTGCTGACGGTGTTGCCTGTAGCGCCAGGAGCAGCGGCTGAGCCGGCCACCAGGTGAGGGGACACGGAGGAGCAGTGCGGGAGTGAGGGGGAAGAGAGCAGGAGGGAGAGCGGGAGGGACAGAGGGGGGGAGTGCCCTGGATGTGGCTCGAGGGAGAGGAGGGCGTGTGCCATGTGGCACAAGGAGGAGGTGACAGCTGGTGGGGTGACGTCAGCGTGGGATAGGATGAGAAGTCCCGATACCGAGGCTGGAGGGAAGGGAGGGTAGAGGGGAGGGTGAAGGGGGGTGGGTGGGTGGGATAAAGAGTGAGTGAGGAATCCCGGAAGTGAGCGAGTGAGAAAGAGTGAGCGAGTGAGAAAGAGTGAGCGAGTGAGAAAGAGTGAGCGAGTGAGAAAGAGTGAGCGAGTGAGAAAGAGTGAGCGAGTGAGAGAATAAGAGAGAGGGAAGAAGCAGGTGGGAGTCATTTGGATCATGGCCCCATACAGGCACATGCAACCTGCTGATACAACCTGCTTCTGGCTGCATTCTATCCAATAATCCATCTCAACCCCAGCACACTCACTCGTCAAGACATCAACCAGGCACGTGAGCCACCCCCTACCACGCCCCCCCATGCGCATTGCCCCATGCCCCCTCTAGCCTGGGCCCATACCCCTTGCCCCAAACTTCCTAGTATGGCCCCATACCCCGAAACCCACACCCCCTACCATACCTGCATGCCTATTACCCCATGCCCATTAACCATGCCCAATATGACATGCCCATTACCACATGCCCATTACCACATGCCCATTACCCATGCCCATTACCCACATGCCCATTACCACATGCCCATTACCACATGCCCATTACCACATGCCCATTACCCATGCCCATTACCACATGCCCATTACCCATTACCCATGCCCATTACCCATGCCCATTACCCACATGCCCATTACCCCACATCACACCCCCTACCATGCCACTGCAGTCGCCTGAGCAGCGCCAGCAGAGCAGCCGGGGAGTTGTGGTGCAGAAATGAGTCCAGCTGGGAGCCGGGGATGGTTGGTGGTATGGGACAAGAGATATGGTAGAGAGGGGAAAGGGGGGGGGTTGGAGGGAGAGGGACGAGTGGATGGGATAGGGGTAGACATGGGAGAAGGGGGGTAGACATGGGAGAAGGGGGGTAAACGTGGGAGAAGGGGGGTAAACGGGCAGGGGGGAGAGGCCAGGGGATGCGAGGGGGCAAGGGTGGGGGAGAAAATAGAGAGGGGAGGTGTGAGTGAGTACGAGACAGGTAGAGGAGTCAAAGCGCAAGAAGCGCAAGAAGAGCAAGAAGCGCAAGAAGAGCAAGAAGCGCAAGAAGAGCAAGAAGCGCAAGAAGAGCAAGAAGCACAGCATTTGTCTTGCAGAAGAGGGAGCGGAAACATGGAAGGCTTGGGCCAGAAAGGGAGACAGAGAAGGAGTGGAAACGACTTGGACCAGAAAGGAGTGGGAAAGATCCATGGCAAAGCATCCCCCGTGAGAAGAAGAACAGATTGTGAGACGTCTCAATCAAACCCGACCCGATGCCCTGAGCTTTGAAAATGCCAAGAGAATTCCACGTACCTACCGAGTCTGAACCTGCCTCGGCTGCTGAACCTGCGGCCACGGACGGAGAGCCTTGGCCCGCGGCTGAACCTGCCTCGGCTGCTGCCGGCTTGGCATATTTTTGAGGCGCCTCAAAAGAAGAAGGCAAGGGAATCCCACCACTGGATGGATGGACGTACCTACCGAGTCAAACACAACCACGGACGGAGAGCTTTGGCCCGCAGCTGAATCCGCCTCTGCTGCTGGGGCCTTGGCTGCCAGGCTGGTTGGGAAATAAGGAGAGAGAGGACACATGCAGAGGGGACGGGATGGGATGGAGAGGGGGCGGAAGGAGCGCGAACGGAAGGAAGCTAGGCACGGTGTTTTTGGAGTCGACTCGATCGAAACACATGTGCATGGGATGGGATGAATGGAGAGGGGGCGGGGAAGGAGCGTGAATGAAAGGAAGCTAGGCACAGTGTATTTTGAGTCGACTCGAAACACATGTGCATGGGATGGGATGAGTGGAGAGGGGGCGGAAGGAGCGGGAATGAAGGGAGTGAGGCCCGGCACGGGCCATGGAGAGTGAACTAGGAAGCCGTGCCTGCATGACAGGTTCGGGTTCAAATGTTGTGCGCAATAGTGCCAGTGTAGAGAGCTTCAAGGCATACGGGATCAGGGATATTACAGAATGCGGGCATTGAATCAAAGAAGATTACAGGATGCGACGCTCAAGCGACACCAGGTCCCAGACGTTGCAAAAGCTGCTGCTGCTGCTGCTGCTGCTGCTGCCTTCCTTGCTGCAGTTGTCTTGATCCGGACCACAGGACGGCAGAAATGGCTGTCCCCAACCCATGGGATCACTGTAGCAGTCCAGCGCCGTGCAGTGACATGCGCACAAGCCAGCGGGCAGCTCGAGGGTGGGAGCCATGGCCGCACGGGGCGAGGAGAGCACAAGCACGGCTCGGCTGAGAGGGTGTTGGGGGGGGGGGGGGGGGGGGGGAGGAAGAGGGGGTGAGAGCGAGGGGAACGTTGTAGAAGATGTAGCACGGAGCGAGGCGGGAACACCGGGAAGGTGTGGGGGATGGCGGCAAGAAAGAGGAGAAGAGGAGAGGAGGTGGGGGAAGGGAGAGAGGGGAGGAGTGCGAGCAATAGTACATTAAGGCAGTCATCCGAATCAGCATCGTTCTGCTGTCGGGGCTGCACTAGCGGCAGCGCTCCATGTCCACGTGGCACGTGAGTGTATCCCGGACACGTGGCATGTCAGGGTCCGATACACGTGGCACGTCAGCAGACACACACATACCTCGCCTGCGCGCGATTGCAGTGGATCGCTCGAACCAGGGACTCAACCATGTGACGCAAGATCTGCCAGCCACCCAGAACGTGACACGTGTCACTCAGCACCACGGTCGGTGCCTCCATACCCTCGACGCGTCCCTCGCGCAACAGCCGCACCGCTGCGGCCGCCATAAGCTCCTGCTTTAAGATTCGAACAGCATATATGATCCTTTTTGCCCTCCTCGTGCAGCAATCCACTCAACCCAAAAACTACTTCTCCCGTCCCCAGTTCACACTTCCCCGAAAAATTGTCCTCTTTTACGGAGCGATCCGCTCAGATTACGCCGAAGACATGCCTACAGATTAGAAGGCTGTTTCGGGTAGCCTGTTCGTGATGAATGGTCCTGGCACAAGCACAGGTATGAAACCATAGATGAGCCAAGCATGGAATGAATCGAACGGATATCGCCACGCGAAACTTAGGGTCGAACGGCGGAGCAATTCTGAAGAAGCATTTTGAAACCAGGAGTGAAACGAAGAACGCCCCAGGATTCGGAGGGTCCCACTCCGGGGAGATTTGGCGACACTAGGGACATTTCTGCTGCTGTAACCAGCTTCATTCCGTCATCCATCCATCCCAAACCTGACTTGGATCCATCTTCGCGACAGATCATGCTGTTACACAACTGAACAAAAAATCTCACGAAATTGTTCGCGAGCGGGTAATGGTGGGAGATCGCAAACGCCCGACTCGAAAATCTCGCATATTCCTTAGTGTCAGAACCAGAGCTTGAGCCAATCAAGTTCAAGCCTAGCCTCATGTTCAGCTGACCTACAAACCCATCTCCCATGCCATCCACCCACACCAAACTTCCTAGGTTTGGCTGAGCGTGAACCATGCATCCGGCCCACCGCACAGCACCACAGTCCACCTCAGCCACACATACAGCCAAACAGTCACATGCAAACACTAGCACCAACCACTTTCCATCGCCTGGTCGCAACAGAAAGTAACACTCGCATTTATTATTCGCTCAGCTGTGTTCCAGTCAATATTTTCGCCTACGCTACTCGACAAGCCTTCGCCAAAAGGGTTTCCCTAGCTGCGAATATACCCACCCTGGGATCATCGTCAGCTGACCACGATGAATCGCCTTGTCCTTGTCCAACCTCATCTTCTTTCACTCATCTCACTCCATCCCATTCCACTTTCTCTCTATCCACCACACCACCATTTCTCCCTCTCTCCTACTGCTCCTACACCTGTACTTGGGTAGGACCATTGTTCTAGGACTGCTAGGGTCTCCAACCAAAAGTTGACAATTTCAAATCCAGCAGTCTCTCTCCTCTCCTAGACCTTTCCCCCTGTCAATAGCCCACCCAATCCATGGATGACCTAATGGTTAGCTGAACATAGGTTCATAGTTATCACCCAAAGGCAGGACGACGTGGCCTAACCCTAGTTCAGGGCCCTGCTCTTCTGGGCCCTGGACCTAAAAGTTGGTTTAGGGTGCTCTTAGGTACCGGAAAGTGGGTGACCGAAAGAGGGAAAAATAGTGTTGGTGATAGGGGGATAGGTTAGGTTTGTACGACCCTTTTCCAAGCTTCCGGGCATGGAGCCCAGAATTGCGAACAAGTTTAGGCTAGGGAGAAAAATCGGTAGCGGATCTTTCGGCGAGATCTACCTTGGTGAGCAGTTCTATTCAGCCTTTGGTTTCAACGTAGCACCATCGTTCTTTTCTCAGCAGGATCAATTATACTTTCAAGAGTTACGTCGTTTGCCGTCTCAAAATCTCAAGCTTCCACTGCCGGCCGGTATCCCTTATTCCGTCAACAGGAACGAACGTTCAGACAAATGAAGAAGTCGGCATAAAGCTGGTAACCACTCGGACGTCATATTCTCTAATTTCGCATCCTAGGCTTTTTCCTCTATGTCGCTGACGGCCGATTTTCATGGCGGTTTTACATGTAGGAATCGACCAAGACGAAGCATCCGCAGCTACTCTACGAATCGAAGCTCTACAGGATTCTCCAAGGAGGAAGTGCGTATCTTAACCGTAGTTCCCGGTCTCTTTTCTAAATCCTTCCGAACGATAATATGCGTTTTTTTCGTCGGCGCTATGGCGATTTTACGGATATTCGGGAGATTATCGTTCATACTTTCATGGACCACACGCGTTAACATCACCTTCTTCGCGATTTCTTAGCGTCGCTTTACCTTATCTTCCCTCGCCGCCGTTGTCGCAGCCGGCATCCCGAACATCCGGTGGTTCGGCGTGGAGGGTGACTACAATGTCATGGTCATCGACCTGCTCGGGCCCAGCCTCGAGGATCTCTTCAACTTCTGCGCGCGGAAGTTTTCGCTCAAGACCGTTCTCATGCTCGCGGACCAGCTGGTGGGTGTTCTGAACCCCCTTTTAATTATTCTGTGCCGGGGAGTTCTCTTCCGTTCATTTCTCGCTCAATACCGTGCTCATGGTCGCGGACCCGTTGGTGAGCGGCGGCGGGATTCTGCTCGTGGATATTATTCGGTGTGGGGGCTTTTTGCAGTGTCCGCGCGAAGTGCATCGGCGTAGATGGCGCGAGATGGCGCGAGAGATGGCGCGGCAGTCTTACCGCTGAAAAATCGACAAGTTTTTTTCCCGTACCCCGCGTGGCTCAAGCTGCTAGCTGGAGTGGCTGTGGTTATGGGAACAGACCAGTAGCTTGGAAACAGACCGGAAGTATCGAAACAGACCGGCAGTGTCGAAACTGACTGGTAGCCTGAGAGCCGGGCGGCGGTTTAGAAACAGGTTTCTACGTTGGGATGGACGGAAAGGAGGCACGCTCTAGTTGACGATATTCGCTGCTTGATCGCCGACCGACATTGAATGGGCCACTACAGATGTGTCGAGAGACGCTGAAGCCTGAGTTGCTTCGGGAGGTTGAGGGACAGGGAGCCTCGGAGGGAGGAGCTGTAACGCAAAGAGATGGAGTTAGAACGTGGAAGCTCACCAGAGTTTCCGACGCGTGGCTTCTTAGACCTGCCTCTCTCTTCCCACACCCCGCCTTTCCCGACTCTGTCAGTTAAACCGCGTGGCGTAGGCGCACTCGAAGATCGCGACATCAGACCGGATAGTGTCTGAGTCGTTTAAACAACCAGTTCCACTCCCCAACTTCCACTGTTCCGGCAGATTAACCGCGTGGAGTACGTGCACTCCAAGAGCTTCCTGCATCGTGACATCAAGCCGGACAATTTCCTGATGGGGCTGGGCAGGCGAGCCAACCAGGTGTACATCATCGACTTCGGCCTCGCTAAGAAGTACCGCGACCCCACCACGCACCAGCACATCCCTTATAGGTGCGTTATACGGCGGCACATCCCTTACAGGTGCGTTATAAGCATCTCAATCAGCACGTCCCTTACAGGTGCGTTATAAGCGTCTCAATCAGCACGTCCCTTACAGGTGCATCCATTCTGCGTTGCCCGGCGAAGGGAGGCGCTTAAAGTCGACTTCGCAGTCCTGGAATTGTTGTCACACGTTCCCGCCCAAATTCCGCCATTCCCTGGCCTTCCCAATCGTTCCTCTCCTTGCCTGCCCTGCATCCATCCGCGCCCTTGCATCCATCCGCGCCCTGCCCTGCATCCATCCGCGCCCTGCCTAGCGATGATCCGCGAAAATCCCGCTCCTATCCTGTGTGTGAGTTTCCCTCGATGCCTCTCCGCGCGCGTTCCTCTCCTCCGCTTCTGCTCTTCCGCGAGTAGTCTTCATCCGCGAGTAGTCTTCATCCGCGCTCTCGAGTCTCTTCTCCCCCGCTCTCTTCCCCCGCGTGCGTGGTGTTGCTCGCTGCTGCGGTGGTGCAGAGAGAACAAGAACCTCACGGGGACGGCTCGTTACGCCAGCATCAACACACATCTTGGCATCGGTGTGTTCCTCCCGCCTCTCGCCTCTCGCCTCTCGCCTCTCGTCTCTCGCCCCTCGTCCCTGCTCACTTGTGCTCTTTTCGTGCCATGTTCGTATCGCATACTGTGCCCGCACGTTGCTCGCACGCTCATGTTACCTGATTCGTTGCCTCATCCCTGCTCATGCGCTTGTTGCTGGCAGAGCAAAGCCGGAGGGACGATCTGGAGTCTCTGGGCTACGTGCTCATGTATTTCCTTCGAGGAAGGTGCGCTGTGGGGTGGTTGAGGGGATACGGCACTCCGTTTTTCTGTTCTCTTGACCTTTCTTCGAGGAAGATGCGCTGTGGCGTGTCTGGGTGGTTGAGGGGATATGGCACTCCGTTCGTTCTGTTCTCATGACGTTCTTCGAGGAAGGTGCTCTGTGAGAGAGTTGTGTAGGAGCTAGCGCTTCGTGGTGAAACATGAAGCGCTGAGTGTTAGCGCACATGGCGCACAACTTCTATAGGAGCTGGCGCTGCATGTTGCGCTACGTGCTCGTGTGCTTTCTCAAAGGAAGGCGAGATGCTTGCGCTCAAGTTGACTCGGATGCAATGACGTGGAGAGCGCTCTGTTGGTCGGGCTATGTGCTCATGCACGCATGTGTCCTCTTGTGATTGGTATGTTCTCTGCTGCAGTCTGCCCTGGCAGGGACTGAAGGCAGGCACCAAGAAGCAGAAGTACGAGAAGACCAGTGAGGAAAAATGCCCACGCCCATAGGTGTCCTCTGCAAGGGCTACCCCACGGACCTCACCTGTGTGCTCATGTACCTTTTTGTGTGCTTTGTGCGTTTCGCCTCTGCAGCCTGCCCTGGCAGGGACTGAAGGCGGGCACCAAGAAACAGAAGTACGAGAAGATCAGCGAGAAGAAGATGTCCACTCCCATAGAGGTCCTCTGCAAGGGCTACCCCACTGAGCTCGCCTCCTACTTCCACTACTGCCGCTCGCTGCGCTTCGACGACAAGCCCGACTATGCATACCTCAAGCGCCTCTTCCGCGACCTGTTCATCCGGGAAGGTACGTGTGGGATGTAGCAGGCGTCTGTTCAGTTTTGAGGCGCCTCAAAACTAGACTCCTATCACGTGTGGGATGTAGCAGGCGTCTGTAGTCACCTCAGAGCCGCTCGCTGCGCTTCGACGACAAGCCCGACTATGAGTACCTCAAGCGCCTCTTCTGGTCTCTCTTCTCGGGAAGGTACGTGGCGTGGGGTGGGCGGGCCTCGTTCCAGACAATTCTGCAGGGTGTTTTTGAGAATTCTCAAAAACACCCTGCAAAATCAAGGTACGTGGCGTGGGGTGGGCGGGCCTCGTTCCGGACAATTCATACCTGTGGGGGTGGGCTCCCTGCCCTCCCGACTATGCATGCCTCAAGCGCCTCTTTTGGGAGCTCTTCGTTCGGGAAGGTACGTTCGTGTGGGGCGTGGCATGGCGTGGGCGGGCCGCGTTCCAGTCAATAAGGCCTCCCTGCCGTCCGGACTATGCGTGCCTCAAACGCCTCTTCCTTATTCGAGAGCTCTTCATTCGGGAAGGTACATTCGTGTGGGGCGTGGCATGGGGTGGGCGGACCTCGTTCCAGACAATAAGGCTTCCCCATGTCTCCCTGCCCTCCCGTCTATGCGTACCTCAAGCGCCTCTCCCGGGATCTTTTCATCCGGGAAGGTGTGTGTGGGGCGTGGCATGTGGTACCCGTTCCTGGTTGATGGAGGAAGTGTCTGGAACGTCCATTGGTTTTTGGTGCCTGTCACACGTTGCTGCTGAACGTGTGTGGTGTGCGTTTTTGGCTCTTCATGTGTGCCTGATTGTCCCTCTGTGCCTGACTGCTCTTTGGTGTATGTGTGTGTGTGTGTGTGTCGGTGCCTGTGTGCGCGCCAGGTTTCCAGTTTGACTATGTGTTCGACTGGACTATTCTCAAGTACCAGCAGTCGCAGGCTTCTGTTGCCGCGCCTCGCATGCTGGTATGTGCTCTCTTCCTGCTCTCTATCCTGTATCCCTCCGTTCTCTCTTGGCTTCATGGTCTCCTGGCTTGGCGATGCTAACTTCCTTCTGTACTTAAGTGCGTGTGTGCATCTCTGTGTTTCCGTGTGTGCGTGCATGTGTGTTTCTGTGTGTGTGGTCATGCTTGTGTGGGCATGCTTGTGTGGGCATGTGTGTGTGGGCATGCTTGTGTGGGCATGTGTGTGTGGGCATGCTTGTGTGGGCATGCTTGTGTGGGCATGTGTGTGGGGTAATGCACACCACTGCATGTCCCCGTGTGTGTATGTGCTCTCCTATGCTCTCCTATGCTCTCCTATGCTCTCCTATGCTCTCCTGTGCTCTCCTATGCTCTCCTATGCTCTCCTATGCTCTCCTATGCTCTCCTGTGCTCTCCTATGCTCTCCTATGCTCTCCTGTGCTCTCCTATGCTCTCCTGTGCTCTCCTATGCTCTCCTATGCTCTCCTGTGCTCTCCTATGCTCTCCTATGCTCTCCTGTGCTCTCCTATGCCCTCTTATGCTCTCCTGTGCTCTCCTATGCTCTCTTGTGCTCTCCTATGCTCTCCTATGCTCTCCTGTGCTCTCCTATGCTCTCGTATGCCCTCGTATGCTCTCCTATGCTCTCCTGTGCTCTCCTGTGCTCTCCTATGCTCTCCTATGCTCTCCTATGCTCTCCTGTGCTCTCCTATGCTCTCCTATGCTCTCCTGTGCTCTCCTATGCTCTCCTATGCTCTCCTGTGCTCTCCTATGCCCTCTTATGCTCTCCTGTGCTCTCCTATGCTCTCTTGTGCTCTCCTATGCTCTCCTATGCTCTCCTGTGCTCTCCTATGCTCTCGTATGCTCTCCTATGCTCTCCTGTGCTCTCCTGTGCTCTCCTATGCTCTCCTATGCTCTCCTATGCTCTCCTATGCTCTCCTATGCTCTCCTATGCTCTCCTGTGCTCTCCTATGCTCTCCTATGCTCTCCTATGCTCTCCTGTGCTCTCCTATGCTCTCCTATGCTCTCCTGTGCTCTCCTATGCTCTCCTGTGCTCTCCTATGCTCTCCTATGCTCTCCTGTGCTCTCCTATGCCCTCTTATGCTCTCCTGTGCTCTCCTATGCTCTCTTGTGCTCTCCTATGCTCTCCTATGCTCTCCTGTGCTCTCCTATGCTCTCGTATGCTATCCTATGCTCTCCTATGCTCTCCTGTGCTCTCCTATGCTCTCCTATGCTCTCCTATGCTCTCCTATGCTCTCCTATGCTCTCCTATGCTCTCCTATGCTCTCCTATGCTCTCCTATGCTCTCCTGTGCTCTCCTATGCTCTCCTATGCTCTCCTGTGCTCTTTTATGCTCTCCTATGCTCTCCTATGCTCTCCTATGCTCTCCTGTGCTCTCCTGTGCTCTCCTGTGCTCTCCTGTGCTCTCCTATGCTCTCCTATGCTCTCCTGTGCTCTCCTGTGCTCTCCTGTGCTCTCCTATGCTCTCCTGTGCTCTCCTATGCGCTCCTGTGCTCTCCTGTGCTCTCCTATGTGCTCTCCTGTGCTCTCCTGTGCTCTCCTATGCTCTCCTGTGCTCTCCTGTGCTCTCCTATGCTCTCCTGTGCTCTCCTATGCTCTCCTGTGCTCTCCTGTGCTCTCCTATGCTCTCCTGTTCTCTCCTATGCTCTCCTGTGCTCTCCTGTGCAGGGTGCAAATGCGGCAGCTGCAGCACCATCGCCCGCTGCCAATGCAGCAGGTCAGCTTCAGCTTTTAAACACCACCTCTATTATTCCTCCCATTCCTTGTGTGTCTTGCACTCTTCTTATTCCCCTTCCCCTTCGCACCTTCCCCTCCCCTCCCACCGACCCCCCCGCCCCGTCTCTCCTCCGTTCTGTCGGCTTGTCTATAATTCGCTTGCACTTCCTCTGGTGACTCACAACGCTCCCCCTCCGCGTCTCGCTCCCATCGCCCTGCATCCCGCCAGACGCGGACTTGGCGCGCCCTCGGCACCGGAGCCCCATGCCCCACGCGGACGAGGAGGTGAGGAACGTTCTGTAGGCTGATAGGCTCTTGTAGGGCTGAATGAGACCACTTAGTCTTTGGTATGGCTCAATGGGACGTACTATGGTCGCCCATGGAGAGCCCTCGGCACCGGAGCCCCATGCCGCACGCGGACGAGGAGGTGAGGAGTGGGGTTGAGGTGTGGAGGGGTGGAGGGGTTGAGGGGTGGAGTGAGGTGATGAGCGGTGATGAGTGGGTTGAACGGTTGAGTGGCTGGTTGGGGTGAATGGGAGGTACTTAGGTCGCCCATGGAGAGCCCTCGGCACCGGAGCCCCATACGGGCATACCACATGCAGACGAGGAGGCGAGGGGAGGGGTTGAGAGGGGGTTGAGGGAGGAGGTGAGGGAGGTGAGGGGGTAGGGGTTGATATAGCTGGAAGGGCACTCATTAAGGTTGCCGATGGAGAGCCCTCGGCACTCATTAAGGTTGTCCATGGAGAGCCCTCGGCACTCATTAAAGTTGCCCATGGAGAGCCCTCGGCACTCTGAGCCCCGTGCTGCACACAGGTGAGATTCCCCACTTCCTCCCCTCCCTTTCCCCCTTCCCTCTCTCCTTCGCCCCGGGGGTCAGGGGCACGCGGAGCCCCTGCTGCAGATGGTATCTGGTATCAAAAGGAGCATTCACCCTCTCCCACCCTCTCCCCCCTTCTCCCCCCCTCTCCCCCCTTTCCCCCCCTTTCCCCCCCTCTCCCCCCCTCTCCCCCCCTCTCCCCCCCTCTCCCCCCCTCTCCCCGCCTTTCCCCTCCCCTCAATTCAGGCGGAGGCGGAGCGCCACGCCTATGGGCGCACAGGCAGTGGGTCGGGGGCGTGCAGGGCCCCTGCTGCAGGTGTTTGACACGAGCATTCACCACACCCCATCTCCCCCTCCCCCTCCCCCTCCCCCTCCCCCTCACCCTCCCCCTCACCCCAGGCGGAAGCTGAGCGCCATGCCTATGGGCGCACAGGCAGCGGGTCAGGGGCGCGCAGAGCCCCTGCTGCAGGCGGGATGGCGCCCGCACCGGCAGCAGCGGGAGCGGGGGGGGTGCGGGGGAGCACACCTGACGCCCTGGACAGCAAGCGCGGGCTGGGTCTTACCAATGCACTTTCTGGCATCCGCTCAGGATCACGCGTCCGCACTGGTGAGCTGTTCACATCACTGCGGTGGGGAGCGATGCCTGGTGGTTGGTGGTTGAGCGTGTGTTATGATAGGATCCTCAAAAGCACAGGCAGCAGGAGCAGCAGCAGCAGCGGGGGTGTGGGGGAGCACACCTGACACCCTGGACAGCAAGCGAGGGCTGGGCCTCTGGGCCTCACCTATGCACTGCTGGGGATCCGCTCAGGATCACGAGTCCGCACCGGGAACTTCCAGAAGCCCCTATTGTGTCCTGTGTATTAGCCCCACCCTCCTCCTCCTTCCCCCTCACCTCTCCGCGCCCTCCCTCCCTTCTTTCCCGCCCCAAGCAGGCCAGGGAAGCGGGCATGTGTGGCAGTGGTAGGAGATAGGCAGGTGCATGTGCAAGCAAGCACAGTAGAGGGATGGAGGATGGGAGGTGCAGGTTCGTGCAACAGTCAGCGTGTGGAGGATGGGAGAGAGGTGCATGGTGCAGGGGTTTGGGGTGGGGGAACTGCTGGCCTGGGGGAGGATGGGGTAGGAGCTCAAGGATAGCGGTTGCAAGATGGGGAGGGGGTGGGATGAGGGTGAAGCAGAGGAGGGGACTGAGAAGGAAGGGAGCAGGCAAGCAGCACGGGGAGGAAGGGAGCAGGCAAGCAGCATGGGGAGGAAGGGAGCAGGCAAGCAGCACGGGGAGGAAGAGGGCAGGCAAGCAGCACGTGGAGGAAGGGGGCAGCAAGGATGGGGGATGGCACGGGGAGGAGTTGGGGGGACTGTGGTGGGCACGAGAGCGGATTGCCGATGGATGGGGGGGTGGAGGACCGGCAAGCCTATGGAGAGCAGGGGATGAGGGGAGGAGGGTGGGAGGGTGCATTTAGGGAGGCATAATATTCAAGCTTGGAGCAGCCAAGAGTGTGTTTGACCTGGTGTTTGTTCTGCACCTCACGACATGGCATTCCATTGACATGTCTTGGCACAAGGGTGGCGCCGGTGTCCCTGATATCCATCGCACTTATATTCCATCACTTCTAACCTCTGCGTCTGGGCGTCGAGGGCACAGACAAGGCTGGACTACACTCAGAATCAGATGATAACCCTGCTGCTCTACTATAACGGTCTCAGGGCCGGCCGGACTCTTGACGGGATAAACCCACATCCGCTTCGCAGCAGTTATGTTGCCTTCAAGAGTCCTCATTGGCACTGTGAAGGGCACACGTACACGCTCTCTGGCCCGCCATGCGCTACAGCTTTCTCGTTCGCTTTCCCTTTTTTTTTTCTTAAAAGCACGTGCTACTGTTGCTTCATGGGTTCACTGACATGTCCATCCCATGGAGTAGGGACATCAGTGACAATTACCCTGCATGTGCTAGGTGATGGGGTGCGGCTGCTGTGCAACGTTCCTCCGGACTTCCAACCGGGGAGGAAGAGCCCTAAACAATTCTGTCCGATGCAAAGATTCGACTGATACATTGGTTTAGTTTTGTCTGTGATCCGTGGTACCCTATACCCAGTATTGGTTAATGGAAGGGATTTGTTGTACCTTTACTCCACAAAGGGGTTCGGCTCTATCAATTTAAGCAGACAGTGATTCATTATTGCAGCATTTTGAGGTGGGGTGTGGTTGCTTGCTTGATCACAGTGAAAGAGCAGAACATTGATGTCAATGGGCTGTCATCTCATAACGGCTGGTCATAGTTCAGCATCTCGACAGTGCCGCACCGCACTAGTCTGGCTAAGACAACAACCGAAATTCCATGTCCCTAGTATCATCCTCTATGCCATGCCAACAAAATGAGCACATCACAAAATGGATACGGTAGGACCGATTGCCCTCTGTGCCCACCCCAGTCCAACCCTGGTGGTACCAGTAGCACTGCAGCATGAAAGCCAGGCTGCGTGGCCTCCTTCCGCACACCTAACAGCACTAACTGCAGGAAGTTAGCCAGACGCAGCGACACAGCAGTCGGGGACTTGGCGGGCGAGCGGGCAGCTTTTTCCACCACCTTCATTCCAGAAGCAGTCATCTGCGATGGGCTCGTATCAGCAGTGGCCCTTAGCATGCGAATATTGATGTGCCTGGGCTTCGTCCCGGCCTTCCCTGCACTGACCCGCTAGGGCAGGAAGATGGAGGCGTGCGCACACCTAGCACCACTACGCCTACTGCAGGAAGTTAGCCAGGCGCAGGGAAACAGGAGAATGGGACTTGGCAGGCGAGCGGGCAGCTTTATCCACCTTTTTCCTGCCCGAAGCGGTCATCTGCGACGGGCTGGTATCAGCAGTGGCCATGAGCATGCGCATGTTGATGGGCCCGGGCTTCGTCCCGGACTTCAGCGCTGGGCCCTTTGGGCGGGAAGCAGGCGGAGTGCGCACTGCAGGGGGGGGCACCGGCCCTCCCTTGGCCATTTCCAGGTTGCGGCTCAGCACGAATTTCACCTTCTTTTGACGCTTGCCGGCGCCGGCCTTTCCTCCCGCCGGGGCTGACTGCACGCCCACTGCAGCGGCGTCTGTCCTCCCGTCCCTGGATCGAGTCCCTGGACCCCTGCTGCCAACGCCTCCTGCTTCTGTGCCTGCTGCTGCTTCTGTTCCGGCTGCTGCTGCGGCGGCGGCGGCTTCACCAGCAGCCATGATTCTGGCGCCCACGCTCCCCGCTGCAGCAGCAAGCTCCTGGGGGAATTCGAAACCGAAGGCGTCAATGATGTCCTTCTCTGGCGTGCGGAATCCGTCTGCTTCCTCCTCCTCCTCTGCCGCGCCTGCTGCTTTAGCCTTGGCGTTTATGGACAGCTTCGGATGCACCAACCCTGATGCTGCCCCGGCCGTTGAAGCAGCAGCAGAACCTGCTGCAGGTGCAGCATCTGCTGTTCCTGCTGCTGAGGCATCTGCTGCTGAGGCGTCTGCTGCTTGTCCCTGCACCGTCTGCTGCCCCTCCCCCAGCGCAGACTCTGTGTCTGCAGAAGACAGGGCTGTCACCTCCTCCTTCATTGGAGCATCCTTCTTACCCTTACGTTTCTTGCCTTTGCCGCTGACCTCCGCTTGCTGCTGCTGCTCCTGCTGCCGCCTCTTCCGCTTGGTTGTCGATTCAGACAGCTTTGCTCCTTGCTGCTCCCCCGTTTGGGCCGTCGATTGCTCATCAGCTGCACCCTTCACACTATTCGTTTCCTCCTCTGCACTGGTCGAGACTTGCCTACCGTCGCCCTCCTCGCCCTCCTCCCTCTCTTCATCATTCTCCTCGCCATCCTCTTCCTCGTTCTCGGCATTCTGCTGCTCCTTCTCCGCTTCCCCGCCCTCCTCTTCTTCTAAACCCTCCCCTGAACCCTCCCCTGAACCCTGCTCCCCAGTTCTCTCCCCGCCATCCTCTACTGCCTCACCCTCCTCCTCTCCCTCTTCCATCTCCCCATCTTCACCATCATCAGAATCGCCTTTTCCGCCAGCAGCGTCAGCATCTTCCTCCTCTAAACCCTGCATGTCTTCCTCGCAGTCTTCCTCCTCCCCTTGTTCCCCTCCTCCTGCTGCATCACTGCCAGACAGCTCACTTAGCAGCGCCGCGAAAATCGCCTCTCCTTTCCTGAGCATTCCCTTCTTTTTTCCTTTCGCCTTGCCGTGCGCTGCTTTGATATCAGCGGACATCTCACTCGCCGTATCTAGAAGCGCTGCCACGTAGGACTCGTCGTTCGTGTTCGCCTTCGCTTCGTTCCGTAGGTATTCCGCCAGGCCCGAAAACACGGAAGTCAGAGCCCGTTTGTGCAGCCGTCCGTCCTCCTTCGTTTGAATCACCCCCACGACGGGCCGACAGAACTGCAGAACCGCCTTCACCACTCTGACGTCACCCCCTCCCGCCTTTTTAAAAACCTCATTAAAAATATCAAGTATATGGAGTTCAAGGCCGATAGCCCGATGTTTGTCCTTAGCGAGAAGGCCCTGCTCCATGACGCATGCTGCGAGCTCAGAAACTACCTCTTCCTCCCATTCACGTTTCTTGAGATACTCGAGAAGATTCCGCATGACCAGACGTATGAGCAGGTAAAACTTGTCCAGGCGATGGTAGTCGATTCCTCCCCATTCCCGACGCATCGTCTTCCAGAAGGTTCGTAGAAAAAGCAGCGCGAGGTCGGGATCGAGGGAGATCAGGATACCCGACATTCGTTCCGCAAGATTCGCCTGAACTGGCGGCTTGTCGGAATGCCACATGCAGTAAAAGAGGCCTTTCCAGATTTTAAGGAGGTCGTCTTCGGCGATCTCCTTGCGAGCGACCAGCCATCGCGACAAGACCTCGAACGCCTGGTCCCTTGTTTCTTCGTCGCTCGCCGCTAGCCGTCGCATGAACTTCGACTTGACGGAAACCTCATCTTTAGCTGATTTCGAAACCATGGCTTCTGCCGGAGCTAAGCCGGGCATTCCAAGCGTCACCGCCTGCTACACCAAACTAGTACCTGATTCAGAAACCAGTAGCCTGATCTAAGATAAAGAGCCTGATCCAGGAACAAGGAGAACCTGATCCTTGCAACAACTGGCCCTGATGAAGTGCCAGAATGAGAAGTCCAAGGGTTTCTCCAAATGGCATTCCAAGGTTTCTCTGCATTGGCGGAAGTTCTGGAATTCAAGACCCCCCCTTCACACCAAAGAAATTCAGTTCTTCGGCACATCAACTGAATTGTACTACTGCAAAGTAGTTTCCAAGTTCCCTCGAGCAGTCGCCCGAAGTCTATCACGGGCAGACTTTACCGACCCGAGAAACGAACAGGTGTACCCGAAAACACTGCCCTGATAGGGGGCTAGAACATGTGGAAAAGGTGGTGGAGAAAGGGAAGGCTAGGATTGGAGGACTGGCAGCAGAAGGGCAGGAAAAGGACATTCAGCAGCTGGTGAGAGGGTTCTGGAGTTTCATTGCACAGGTCCCCTAAGCGCGGGAAGGAGCCTGATGGGCTGGAAAGTGATCCACACATCCGCAATTTGTGGAATTATCTTAGGGCAGAGTTAGACAGAGTGTCAGGCAGTTGGTACAGGTATGCTGAGCTGACCCTGGGTACAGGTCGACCTAACAGCCATTGCGCGACCCTTGACGCCAGGAGAACTGAAAGTGTGGCCAGGTTGCACAGCGAGGTCGAGTACGATACAAGCGACTGCCATTCTGAATGCTTACTGGCTCGGCTTGTTTCGCGGCAGTTGGACGTGTAGACACGATGTTACCGGTTTTTTAGAGCGGGAAATGTTGCCGCGTGCTTCGAACCACCCTGACACCAGGGCATTATGTGCTTCCAGGTGTCAGGTAGGGCTGTACCGACCGCCTGACACGCGCTCTAACTTAGCCCTTACACTTCACACCCGAGCAACCAAGACGACGTGGCTACAGTCCTTTGTTTCCTTTTTCCACGCAGGAGCTTCGCTGGCACGAAAACCTTGTTCATCCGCGTTTACGTCCTTCCATTCATGATCGTGGTGCATACAAACGAGTTACTTCTTGGTGATTCGGGATTCCCTAGAGGCTCTCACCATAAGCCACACCCCCATCCCATACCTTCTTGGACCTTCGGGCATCTTCTAAAATCTAGACTCCCCTCTTATCTCGTTAGCCTAAGTCAGCCAGAGCAATTTTAGGTCTTAGTCCTAGTTTCTTCCACTGGATTTAGGTTTTGAACTTAACGATCGCCTGCGGTGAGAATCCACGGCTTTTGTATTCTTGGCGTGAGCTTGCAGCGCGTTCGGTCGTAGTGGGGGTGAGGGTAGAAGCATGGCAGATTCCCAGGCTTGCTTGCTCCTGAAGAAGCAACTGAGAGGTGATTTACCAGCGGGTTTCCGTTGCCTTCGAAACTATTTGTTTTTGTACTGCACGAAAGGCGTTACACCTTCGTTGGATCTTTCGTGTGCCGAATCTGGCTTTTCTTGTACTCCATCGCTCTGGTCATTCTTCTTCGCAGATTTGTTAAAGAATCCTGTCGATGGGTTCTCGGCCGGCCTCGTGGACGATTCTAATCTCTTCGAGTGGCAAGTTACGATCATCGGACCGCCAGATACCCTTTAGTACGTTCACTAGAAGCAGATAAGAAGCAGCCTGGCCCATGTTATTTATGGATGTTTTCGTTCTCCAGATTCTAATCGCTGGTCTCTTCCTGTTTATCCGCGATAAGGAGCAGCCCGGCGCATGTTACTAATGGATGTTTTCTGTTGCGGCAGTGAGGGTGGTTTCTTCAATGCAATCATGAGCTTCCCAAACAACTACCCCAACAGCCCACCGCAAGTGCGGTTCACGTCGGAAATGTGGCACCCAAACGGTGAGCCTTTGTTGGACGAAACGGTGAGCCTCCAATCGGCCACCAAATTCCCGCCTTCGCTCCCGGTCCGTTTTTGCTTCCCTGGCTCACGTCGCTTGAATGTTCGACGAATCAAAATCATCTGGAGGTCGAGGTTGTGAGCCGGCCAGAAGGTGATTCGATAACGGATCTGCTGGTGGCCATCGTCTACGTAACCACTTTATCTGGCGATTTATTTCTGTCTTTCTCCTTCCTGTTCTGCCTCTTTATCGTTCCTCCCCCACGGCAGTCTACCCGGACGGCCGGGTGTGCATATCGATTCTGCATGCGCCTGGCGATGACCCCAATGGCTACGAGCTGGCCAGCGAACGCTGGTCGCCTGTGCACACTGTAAGCTCCTTAACAAATTCCTTCGGTCAGCTCATATGTCTGCTTTTCACACTGTAAGTACTGGTCTCCCTTGCAAGCTGTGGGCTCCTGCACATATGTTTGTAAGCCAAGCGGAGTCAATTCGTTGCTCTCCTGTGAACACTGCGTGGGTTGGCTGCATGGTTTGTATAATCCGTTCCGTATGTATGTGATACGTCCGTTCCGTGTGTGTATGTGCTTCCACATCTGGTTCCCGACCCCATCTGGTTCCTGACCCCTTCTCAGGTGGAAACCATCCTGCTGAGCATCATCTCCATGCTGTCAAGCCCCAACGACGAGTCGCCTGCCAATATTGATGCAGCGGTGAGCTGCTCGATCCGAGCCCTGTGTTGCCTGTGTTGCAGTGCTGCCACCGCCGTTCTCTTGGATTTTACCCCGCCCTTGCCATTCCCACTGTCTTGAATCCCGTTTGCCCTGGCAATCCTCTCTCTCTCAGTCTGTCACTCTCTCGCTCTCCCCCTCACACTCCCCCATCGCTTCCTCCCTCGCCAATCTCTCCCACACTCTCCTCGCCTATTTTCTCTCGCTCGCATCGTTTCCTCTTTACTTTATTCACTCCTTTGCGCGCATCCATTTTCTCTCATCCGTCTCTTTTTCTCTTTCCCCCTCACACCCACCCTCCTCCCTCCCTCTTTCAATCTCCCCTCCTCTCTTTCCCTCCTCCCACCTCTCTCTCCCACTCACTTTCCTTTCTCCCATCACTCCCCCCTTCACAAACACATTCTCGCTTGCTCTCCGTCTCGACTGTTCAATGCCCCATCGCTTTTGGCGCAATGCCTGCTCTGTGCCCATCCTCCCCCCTTCTCCACACCAACAGAAAGAGTGGCGGGAGACGCGGGATGTGTTCAAGAAAAAGGTTGGCCGATGTGTAAGAAAATCGCAAGAGGAGATGTGACCTCGCTTTGGACACCCTTGTTTGGCTGAACTGTGTAGGCGTGCTGGTTAGGTAGTGTCATTGTAGAGCCTTGCCTCTATGTGGACTTTTAGATGTGACAAGTTTCGCCTAAAGCATTAGTTAGAGGGTTCAGTCATTTGGTGTGTGTAGAATTCTAGCACGTAAGAATCAATTGCTGATTGGTAAATGGATGCTCTTGTTATTTGGGCCGGACTTTATGTGATATTTTCTTGGCCAGTAGCATGCATGCATAGCATACCCACACATTAGTGGACCTGCACAAACTTTGTAGTGAGGAGCCATTCGTATTGTTCCTTTGGTACACCGTACGAATTGAATGGCATGGGTGCGTGTGACTGTGGGACCAGGCGAATTGCTAGTGTCCACGTCAGTGAATAAGCGCGAATCGCGTGCTAGTTCAAGGTCGGTTCATGAGCTCTGGGCTTGAACACGTGGCCCTTGCAGAGCCCCAACCACCGTGTCCTCCTACCTCACTCCCAAGGGGACTTTAAGGCTGCCACGTCAGTAATTTTGGTGTGTCCCGTCTCACGAACACCACCATCCCTTTAGTTCGACTGCCCGTAACACTGACTGACGAGCCAGTCAATCCCCGCAGGCTTTTCATTGCCTGCCCAGCACCATCAATTTGTCGGTCGGATTGCAGGGCGAACGCTTTTTGTGGACTCCGGTGCCTGCCATTGGATTAGCCTTGAGAATTGTGTGGGCAAAGAGGCGAGTCGCGCTCCCCTGGGCTTGGTGCCAGCTGCCCCCCAGAGAATATACTTGGCGGGAGAACTTTTTGAGGTCTCATCGCTTTGCGTCACCCACGCCGCTTCCTGATTGGTCGAGTTGGTTCCCCCAATCAATCCTCCCTAGGGTTTGGGCTGGCACGGCTGCTCCATAAACACTCAGCTTCTGCGTCCGTTCTGTAAAGCTCAGCTTCTTTGTGCTCCGGCTTGCCCAGTCAAGCCTCAACCTCTCTCCAGTCTCCAGCATTCCTCAGTGATCACATCTGTGTTTGCAGTCATGGCCGCTTCTAACGACTATGGCTCCTTCACTGCTTCGAACCTCGAGCGCGAGCCCTACTGGCCCGAGAAGAAGCTCAGGATCTCCGTCACCGGAGCCGGCGGTTTCATCGGATCGCACATCGCGCGCCGATTGAAATCGGAGGGTCACTACGTGATCGCGTCGGACTGGAAGAGGAACGAGCACATGACCGAGGACATGTTCTGCGATGAGTTTCATCTCGTGGATTTACGTGTCATGGACAACTGTCTGAAGGTCACCAAGGGAGTGGAGCACGTGTTCAACCTGGCTGCTGACATGGGTGGCATGGGGTTCATCCAGTCGAATCACTCCGTGATTCTCTACAACAACACCATGATCAGCTTCAACATGCTCGAGGCTGCTCGTATCAACGGTGTCTCTCGGTAAGCCTTTTTAATTTCAACAATCAAGCTATAATTTGTAATGGAGTGAACTTGTTTCATTTATCGTGCTATATACTTGCAGAAGCTGAATCGATTCCATTTTTCTCTCGTGCAGCTTCTTCTACGCCTCGAGTGCGTGCATCTACCCTGAATTCCGTCAGCTCGAGACTGACAACGTCAATCTTAAAGAGTCGGATGCCTGGCCTGCTGAGGTGAGTCGCGATCTATTAATTCACAGTCCTCACATGAGTTTGCACTCTCGATATGCGAAATAATTGTTGTTTCCATATTGGTAATTAGACTCCCAATGCGGGTTTTAATTCACATGTTAATATAACACGGATCGTTTCTATTTGCAGCCGCAAGACGCGTACGGTCTCGAGAAATTGGTGACTGAGGAGCTCTGCAAGCATTACACCAAGGACTTCGGCGTGGAGTGCAGAATCGGCCGCTTCCACAACATTTACGGCCCCTTCGGCACATGGAAGGGTACGTTGCTTTGGTTTTCAGTTGCAAGTTTCTTGCCTCACCCTCTCGGTTTCTGGGCGCGGAAGTTATTTTTGGAAGGCTTTTCTGACTGTTTGACATTGTTGATTCAGGTGGCCGCGAGAAGGCGCCAGCTGCGTTCTGCCGCAAGGTGCTGACGTCGAAGGATCACTTTGAGATGTGGGGCGATGGCAAGCAGACGAGGTCGTTCACCTTCATCGACGAGTGTGTGGAAGGCGTCCTCAGGTATGTCTATCATTGCTTGCTCTCTAAGTAGTCCCTGGTCTGGATACTATAGGCAGCAAGAAAGGAAGCTGGGCGAGGCATTAGATCGTGGGAGTTAAGAAACTGGAAAAAGGAAGTTAGAACCATGATATTGTTGGTTCTTTAAGATCAGCCTACCGAATCCCGGAGGTATTTCGTGGCTACATAGGTACGAGTGCAGGTAAATATTGCGGGTGGATATTTCTTTCGGGGGTGTCTGGATGGGCTGTTCTTTCTTTGTGGAGTACCTGTTTTCCGCCCTTAGCAGCCAATCAAAATCCTCTGTCTTGCGCTTTCCTGTCTGCGACTGCGACACCTTGCAGGCTGACCAAGTCGGACTTCAGGGAGCCGCTGAACATCGGGAGCGACGAGTGCGTGAGCATGAATGACATGGCGGGCATGGTGATGAGCATCGAGCACAAGGACCTGCCCATCGAGCACATCCCGGGCCCCGAGGGCGTGCGAGGACGCAACTCGGACAACACATTGATCCGGGAGAAGCTTGGCTGGGCTCCTTCGATGAAGCTCATTGTAAGTCTTGCGATTTCCCTCTGACCCATCAGGCTCTTGCACCCTACTTTCCTCTACTCCCCCCCTCCCCCCTTCCCCTTTTCTGCACCCCCTGTTTTGTTCTAACACCCTACCTGTTTTGTTCTCCTCGACTTTCAGAATATGGTGAATCATAAGCTGAGAACGATTGGTGTGCCATTTTGCAGGATGGGCTCACAATCACGTACAAGTGGATCACGACGCAAATCGAGAAGGAGAAGGCTAAGGGCACGGACGCGTCTGTGTTCTCCTCGTCGAAGGTTGTTGGCACATCAGCGCCTGTGGAGCTGGGATCACTGAGGAAGGCCGATGGGGAGGAGTGAAAAACAGATACGGTACTCAAATACGTCTCTTACAGATGTCTCTTCAGATTTTCGCAAGTCTTCATGCTGACACCAGGTTGACAGGCCTTTGCTGCAGTGACGCTGCCCTGCTTCCTTCTGCTCCATATTCTTTGCTTGTGCCCAAGCCCATAATCTTGCTCCTACTGTAGCAATCACTGTACTTTGTCTAAATCCAATGCAATACCTACAAACCATTCTTGCGGATAGGTTAGGCAGCTTCTTGTAGGCTCAACAGCAGAAAGTGAACCTGTAGATATTCCATCTCACAGCAAATTGTGCACATACCCATCACGTATTTGTTAAATTATATGTATGTTATATAATTGTAGGCTTGGTAGTCGTTACTGGAACCTACTGTAGAGCAAACGACACCCCTCTTATCCCTCCCTCTTCTTTACTCGACCTCTAGGCTCTCCTAGCCTAAACGTTCCTAGCCTAAAACGTCACACCATTTCCATGGCGGCTTACCCTTCCTAGCTACCTAGCCTATCGTGATAGTATTGTCACCTAGGGGAATTCCGTTTGTTGTGAAATATAAGAGGTGTGCTTACTATGTGTAGAGCGATTTATACATCAGAGCTTGAGGAACGAACCTGGTGACGTACTATCAGATGGTAAATCTGCATGGCTATCATCTCTTTTATTTCTGGCCCTGGGCAGTTCAGCTAGAGTTCCCAGGTGTTGCTCAACTGCTTGCTGTAATTGAAGACTGAGTGGCCGTTGCTGCTGCTGTTGCTGGTGCGGACATTGCTGCTGATGTTGCTGCCTCTGCTGGTTCGGCAACTGCTGATCCTCTTGTCCTAGAGGCTGGCTTCCCAAGTGTGCCACCATTTCTAATGCTGTCAGCCTCAGACCCTCTTCTCCTGCCTCCGTGTTCTGCTGTTGAGAGCATCGGCAGGAGGTGCAAAGCACCCATGTTGCTTCTCTAGTCTGCTCCCTGCTGCCAGGGGAGCCTGTTTGTCCCTGCTGCTGCTGCCCCTGCGGCTGTTGCTGCTCTGCCAACTGATGCGGTCGCTCCTGCTGCTGCTGTCGCTGTTGCTCTTGCTTTTGCTGCATGCGTTACACAAAAGCAAACAGAAATGTCAGCACATGACGCTGTCTTGGAAAGCCAGGACAAAGGTCAAAAGAGGGTTTATGGCAGCATAGGCACAAGCCACACCTGCCCGAACAAACGTCACCATCAATTGAGAAGGAAAAACTTTGCCACTGTAAGGGCTTCAGGCACTTACACTGAGCCTCTCCCTTAGGCGGCGATTCTCGTCAGCTAGTGCTTCGCACCGGCGCCTCAAGCCGTCCAGCTCCGCTTCTGTGTGCTTCACCTTAGTGCGCGCCCTCCTATTCTGAAACCACACCTCCACCTGCCGCACGCGCACGCCCAGCCGCCCCGCCAGGGCGCTCTTCTCCCTGGGGGTGAGCCTGGGGGTCTTCTTGAATACTGCTTCCATTGTGCTCAGCTGCTCCTGGGTCAGCCTCATCTTCCTCTTGCTCCCACTCCCCTCCTCCTCCTCGCCTCCCCCTCCTTCCGTTCCCGCTTCATCTCCTTCCTCTCCTCCTGTTCCTCCTGCTTCTCCCCGCCCCTCTCCCTCACACTCCTCCCCCCCACTCATTCGCTCTGCTGCTTCCAGCTCAGCACCATCTGTCTCCCCCAGTGCGCCGGCATTCTCCCCTTTGTCATTCTCGCAGCTCCCACCACCCTCCTTACCACCTTCCCTGTCTCTTTTATCAGGACCAATGAGACGGACGCTTGAAGCAGCAGCACCAGCAGCACCCCCACCAGCAACCGCCATGTTTATACCTACAGCAGCATTAGCAGCAGCAGCAGCAGAAGCAGCAGCAGCACCACCACCACCACCACCAGCACTGCCATCAGCAATACCAGCAGCAGCAAGTCCCGAGGCACCAGCAAGAATAGCACTGAGCTTTCTCTTCAGCCCTGTGTCCACGCCCCACATTGCCCTTGTCACCCCCACCTCCCCTCCTTGCCCCACCTTCGTCACTCCTTCCACCTCCCTCCCCCCCAGGTTGTTTCCTCCATCCGCCCGCTCCCCTTCCCACCCCTCTCTGCCTGCATCTTCATGAAACCTGCTTCGTTTTAGTATTGGCTGAGCCACAGTCCTTTGTCTCCCCACTGCCGCTTCCTCACATTGTGTTTTTGCACCACCTATCCTAGTTGCCCCGCTTATTTCTAGCCCTGCCCCTAGCACTGGGCTCACATCTGCATCTGGTGCTGCCCCTCCTCCTCCTCCTCCTCCTCCTCCTGCCATGACGCTGGGATGATTTTTGAGAAACTCAAGTGCTCGAGCCCAAGCGGCAGGTTCTGTTCCTGAAGGCGGTGGCAAATGAAGTGGGTGCGAATATGAGAGCAATTGCTGTGATTGTAACTGTGGTTGGAACAATTGTAACGCTGGTTCAGAGTGTAGCTGTAACGCCATTCCGTCTCGACCACCTTCGCCAGAATTTGGACCACCACCAACCGATCTCAACCCGCCCGAATCTGGCTTTGCGGAATCACCACCAGCATCCGCACATTTCCCGCTCGCCCCTCCGCGTACAAAATCTTCCCCCCCCTTCCGCGCGGCTACCATGTCCGCTTCACCACCCGCCCCCCTCCTGATTTCCCCAGGGAAAACAGGGCGGGACAGTATACCCTCCGCGCTTCTGCTTGTCTCAGGTTTGTTGCCGCAGTTTCCGCCTTCTCCTACCACTTGCACACCGCTATTTTTCGCCTCGCTACTTTGCGCCAACGGCGCTGTAACGAGGCCTGCCGCGCCCCATAGCCGCGCCACTAGCGCGAGGCGTTCCAGTTCCGCAGCATGATTTCCGCCAGGCGCGCCCAAAAGCCGCGCCAGCGCTTGCTCTGATACAGACCCAACGCCGGCGCTGGCGCCGACGGGAGTAGCGGAAGCCGAAGGCGCTGGTGTTGCGGGAGGGGGGGTAGCGGGCGCTGGACCGGCGGAGGCAGGAGAGCGGCCAGCGGCGGAAGCCGCGGGTGCGGGAAATGCGGAAATGGTAAGCGAGGGAGCGGAAAAAGGCGCGGCCGCGGCGGAGAAGGGGGGGGCAGTTGCGAGCAACATCCCAGGGAAGGCGGAAGGAGCTGGCGCGCCGAGGCTGCGGAGGAACTGCGCAACTGAATCCACCGCCGCTGCGTGGTGCGCTGACGGCGCGCCTGGCGGAACATCGGAGGCGCCGCGCGGCGAAGCGGGCGATCCGGCGGAGAAGGGGGCCAGAGCTGGGATGTGAAATTGCGGCGGCCGCGTCGGCGCTGCGATCCCCGGGCCGGCGGTTGGAGTATTTGCCACGTCATGCCGGGGGAAGGCAGTAGCGCGCGGCTGCGGGGGGAAAGGGCCTGGCGGAAAAGCCGGCGGGTTAAACTGCTGCAACCGAGCCAGGAGTTGCTGTAGCTGCTGCTGCTGCTGCCGAACCTGCTGACGAGCCTCGGTGGGAGTTTTGGCGGGACTATCCTGCGATTTTTCCAAGCTGCCCGCCACGGCCGGCGGACTACGCGTTCGACTGCCCGACGTCGGAAATCTGTCGAGCCGCGGCTCCGCGGGTCGCGTTGTCGAATCGCTTCGCGAAAGTACAACCTCCTCGTCCTCCCGTCTCCTGGGACCGCGGAAAGGACTCTCCTCGTCCTCTCGTCTCCTGGAGGCGCCAAAGGGAGTAAGGGTGAGGGATAAATCCGTCTCCAGTAAACCCCCCGCATCGGCACTCTCGAGGGTTTTCGTCTTGTCCATTACGCCTTGGCTTTGTCCAACCGGTCTAACGAACACCGACCTTCTGTGGGCTCGTGCTGCTGGTAGCGGTGACTGGGGTTGTTGTATGACAGGGAACTGAGCGCGAAAAACGGAGGCCTCGGGATAGAACGGAAGATTTTTGGTGGCTGGTGTTCTCGAATTGCGTCGCGACGTCGCGTCGTCGGGTGTCTGGTCATTCACACTTGATCGCGTCGGTCATGCTTTTGAGCCGATGCAAAAATCGCGTCTTTCACGTCATGGGTAGGACATTTGGTCTCGGTCTCGGACCCCCTATCGTGAAGCACCACATGACAGAGCTCGGAACTGTGGCCAGGCCAATGGTAACTAAGGTCCCGTCTCCTACTGTAGTAGATCGGATTTCGGACCAAGCGGGCAATCAATTCGATAATTAGTTCTAGAAATCGCGGAAGTGGGGTGGAAGTTTCCAGTCCTGTCCCCTTCCAATCAAGCAAACTCTTGAACCTAGACACCCGAATCGCCTCCGCCACACCGACAATGGGCTACGTTACAGGAATGTCGCTGTGGGTGCATGTATGAGTATCCGTTCGACGAGGCAAACAGCGAATCATGGACATGGACACAATCTGCCGCAAAATGCGGTAAGCCCATGCCCAATGACTGGGCAACGCGGCTCAGAGGAATGGAGAAATTGCATTAGGCTTTTTGTCTCGCTGTCTCGCTTTCTGTCCTAGAGGTAAGGTGCTCGCTGCAGGGTCTAACCTGATCTGAAGCCTAACTAACATCCGGGGCAGCGGCCGTTATGTCTTATCGTTCTGACCACAGTGTACCACGTGCTGGGAGCAGCAAACATTGCAGGCAGCAAATCTGGCATGTCCACGTTAAGTGGTGCGAAAGGCCAGAATTAGCGTCAGGGGGAGCAATGGAAAATAAGCTGGGAGGGAGCGACCGTTACGGCCCGGGCTGGGCCTCGACGAAAGCGCAAGACGAGAGGCCTTGGGAAAAGATACTGTAGGTACGCTACGCTCCCTTGTTTGTAGTGGAAGGAATGCTTGCTTGCTTCCTGCGTGCCTGTCGGGTTGCGTGATCAGATCAGACGAGACTGGAACGAACAAGAGCAGCACTGCCAGCGGGACGAAAGACGCTGGAGTTGCATGAAATTGCACGAATAGGAACGAAAGAAACCGCTCCCTGAGGACCGCCAAAAGCAGTTGCATTTCGCAAACGCACAATTCGTCTCGTTGTCACCTGCCTCGAAGGCACGGGCAAGGAGCAAGGTGATTTTCGGGTGCTGATCAGGCCAACCTTGTTCAGGTGGGCAGCTTGATCAAAAGTTTGACGCTCGTTAGCAATTTTACTGCGTAGAATGGCTTTCATATCTGAAATCACTGGGAAGCATTCAAGCAAATTTTGTGTAGGGTGGCCCTCTCTCAGTGTAGGGAAAATATGCAAAATTTAAAACCCGACCGGCAGGTTGCATATTGGTACTGTTGAAGTAGTGGGGCGGCAGGTTACGATTGGTTGACGAGGAAAAATATAAGCGATTTTTATGAAACTTCATATTCGTCCACCTCGTGCGTGCACGGGAGTTCCCAAGGGCTACGCAACCTGGCAGAGGTGTCAGGTTTGAGCCCCGTCATTTGGCAGGGGACTCACACCTGCCTCTTTGCCATGTTGCAAGGGGGGTTTTCGTGCCTGCATTTTTGCTAACAGCCCAATCGTTTTTTGTTAGGGCAGGTTGAAAGGAAACGAGACTCAACTATTGGGCTTCGGTTTCGCCCTTGTGCGATCAAACACACATTGGTACACTTGCGCTAAACCACCTGAAAGTAAAACTTTGAACGAGTAATTACCCTTCGAGCACACTTCGTGCTTGTTCACCTAGATACTTGGTAGGGACGCAAACTTGCCAAGTTTGTCGAGGCACAGAGTTGAGGTGTTTGAGTCTCGTCAACCACTGCTGCGTGTGTGTCGGTTACAGGTTCTCAAGATGCAGCATCTTGAGAAAAAGAGAGTTGCCACCAGTCATACTGCTGACGCCAGATTCGTCACTCGAAGCTTCTTCGAGCTTAGCACAATAAATGTCGCATGCTGCTGACGGAACTCGCCATGGCCTGGGCATTCTGCTAGGGAACGGTATCAGCATCCTAATTACCCGCTAGTACACGGAATCTCCCGAAACATACCCATTGACGAACGGACTCGCCCAAGAGCTACATTATACGGTACTGTCATTCTCACAGTGACTTAGCAGGGCAACGGGACAGCCCAATGCACCCTAGGGGTGTGAGGAATCCGCTCCTAGCATGACTCAGGGCGCCTCACAAGGGGACCAAGAGAGCAAAACCACGTAGGGAATTGAACTGCTACCTTCGCTGTTAAGTAGATTATGAAGAGGAGGAGGGGGGGTGGTGGTTGTATGTACCACCATTGACAGATTTCCATAAGTGCATCACGTACCGAATCAACGTAAGGTACTGGTGGATTATTAAAGCCCGACTGGCAGGTTGCATATTGGTACTGTTGAGGTAGGTGGGGCGGCAAATTATGATTGGCTGACGAGGAAAAAGATGAACGAAATCGTTTTGCGAAACTTTATCTTCGTCCAGCTCCTGCTTGCGCGAGAGTCCCCGAGGGCTACGCAACCTGGCAGAGGTGTCAGGTTTGAGCCCCGTCAGGTGGCAGGGGACTCACACTTGACTCTTTGCCATGTTGCAAAGGGGTTTGCGTGCCTGCGTTTTTGCGCAAACAGCCAACCTCTTTTTTTTTGGTTCGGGCAAGTTGGAAGAAAACGAAACTCCAACTATTGGGCGTCAATTTTGCCCTTGTGCAATCAAACACAAATTGGTACACTCGCACTAAACCGCCCGAAAGTCGAAATTTGTACAAATAATTACCCTTCGCGCACAGTCTTTGCTTCCTCGCCTCGATACTTGGCAGGGACGCAAACCTGCCAAGTTTGTCGAGGCACTAAGTTGAGGTGCTTGAGTCTCGTCAACTGCTGCTGGGGGTGGAGTCAGTTACAGGTTCTCAAGATGCAGCATCTTGAGAAAAAGAGAGTTGCAACCTGCCGGTCGGGCTTTAACAAGACGAACCTCATCCAGAAATCAAGGGAAACCGAACCCAGCAAAACATTACTCCTAAAGTTTTGGTATGAAGGTGAAACTAGTTACCAAGAACCCTTCCGCGATCAGCAAAGTCTCACCTCATACGAGCACTGTTTTCGTTGTATTTTTTCACACAGCCCTTTAATACACCAACTGTACAGGTACACAGTAGAGCAGCGAGGCACCGACAAATTGTCGAAACATTGACTTACCAGTGTGACTGTATGCGGCTCTTCATTTACGGGTGTGACCATCTACATAAACTCGGAGAAAAGCGTCAACCATAAGCTGGTAAAATAAGAATCAGCTGCATTTCCCACCAACCGTCAATGCCTTACCTTCCATGCGAAAGAAGCTACCTGTATCATGAAATTAAGCAGGTTGATTGCGCTAGAAAACAAAGATCAAACTGTAAGAGCCGAAAATATTAAGGGTATCACAATTGTCATTTCTCTTGAAGCCACTTGTTGAGCCTCTCTTGGCATTCACCCTGCACCACTTTGAAATCATCAGCAAACCCTTCCTCCAACTCTGCTGCTTTCCCCTTTGACGCAGTCGGTAGGATCAAGACGACACTTGTGGGCCGTTTTGTGATCGCAGCATTGCCCAGGTCCTGATGCCCACACAGGTAAACATAAGACAAGCAGCGACAAGGGAGATGGTGAAAAGGGATACCTAAAAATGATTTCACTCTTCTGCACAGGATGTTAGAATAGGGCACTAGAAATGGAGGCCTTGCCGTTGTCTGCACTGGGTTCGTGAGTTACATGTTACAGGGTAACTTACTGCACGTAGTAGGTGTGGGGAATGTTGGCCTCCTCGCACACAATGGGGAGACGGGAGATGACACTTATTGGTAATAGGGTTACATGGTTACTTACAGCGCGACTGGGCACATAGGTGTAGGGAATGTTGGCCTCCTCGCATACAATGGGGAGGTGCGAGATGACGTCAATGGGCGACACATCGCCGCCCAGCACACATACGCTGCGGGATGCACCGGGGGACAAAGAGACAAGGAGAGCAACGGCAGGAGGGGGCTTTTGAGTCGATTCAAGAGATGACGTCAGTGGGCGACACATCCCCGCCCAGCAGACACACGCTGCGGGATGCAGGAAGAGACAAGGAGAGCAACGGGAGGAGGGAGGGAAGGGGGGCCAAGGGAGTTAGAAACGGGTGGGAGTAGGGCAAGTTGTGCACACGACGAAATTGGGGAGAAACGGGCGGGAGGGACTAGGAATGAGAGAAAAAAAAATTCCATGAAGGGCAAGGGTCAAGCGAATGTCCTTACCATAAAGAAACATAGAAACACACGCATAATAACTCACCCTCTTTCGCCCTTCCGAATGGCCTTAGCAACCTCCTTCACTCCTCTGCGTAGAAACCCCTTGTTCTTCGCCGCTGCTCGCAGGGATCGAACCGGTTACCGGTTCAGACAAGGGAGAAATGAGGACACGGCAGAACGAAGGCGAGGACCGTTAAGGAGAACAATAATGGTAAAGACAGCGAGACGCACAGAGGGTCACGAGCCCATTTGTGAAAGGACGGACGGACATGGAGACACAGATGAGAAGAAGGGACAATGCAGGGAAGGAATACAAAAATAAAGAGGGGCTGGTAGCGGCGGGGGATGGAGGGCGGGCGGGGGGGAGGGGGGGTAACCTCAAAACAATATAACCGAATCGTCTTCGCTGAATTCCTTCCTCCCCTCACAACCCCCCACATCCTCCCCCCCCCCCCCCCCCCCCCCCCCCCCAAAAAAAAAAACCCCCCGCTCCCTTCCCCTCGACACTCCCCTCCCCTCCGCGCGATTTATGAAAGGAATTGCGATTCAATGCAAGCACCTTTCTTGACGAGCTTCAGCACTTTCTGGTTAAACTTCGGGTCCGCCAGCGGCTTTGCGATGGCGCACACGTTCCGCCACTTCAGCGCCTCCGCCTCCGCGGCTCCCGCCTCCGCTATAGCGCCCTTGTCGCCCCCCTCCTTCTCCTTCTTCTTCGATTTCTTCGGCGTCGCGCCGTCGCTCCCCGCGGCGGCGGCGGCTTCCGACTTCTTTTTCTTCGGCGTCGGCTCGTCGCCGGCTGTCGCGTCGCTCTTTTTCCGCTTGGGCGTCTTCTCGACCTCGTCACCCGCCGCCTCGCTCTTGCTCTTCTTCGGCGTCTTCTCGTCCTTCTTCGCCATTCTCAGCTCGCTAAAAGACTCCTCGAGTTACGAAACGCCTCAAAGAAAATATTCTCTACTAACAAGCCGCCAATACTTTCTCAAAACACAAGACTAATATCGCCTGGGAGTGAGGGAAGATGCGGTGACTACGGCGTGAGCGAAGGAGGGGTGACGGTGCTATTGAGGTAGGAACTGAGAGGTCGGGATTAGGGTTTTTAGAACGTTTTGCGAGAGGGGGGCTTTGCTGCCTTCTCCCCCCCGAAGGAGAGATATTTGGTGCGCCTTGTCCCCCTCGCGTACAATTCTCCGCTACAGTCTGTCTCAATCGGAGTACAAGTTGGGAATCACTGTCCAGAGGCGAGCGAACATGGTAAATTCGTATCCCAGCAAGATGGGCCACTTCAATTCAATGCGCCAAAGGCATTAGAGTAAAGAATGTTAGAAAAGGAACCTATGAAACGAACAGTGCTTAAATCAAAATTGCTACCTAACAAATGTCCAACCTACGGCAATCAATTCATTCACCCACACCTCCCCTATTTTCGCCTTGCCAGAGGTCGTTTCGCCCTGACGATTCTCCTTCCCGCAATATTCGATGCTGCTGGTGTCTTATCCCCACCTGCATCCCCCCCAGCACCCATGGAAAACCCTCCAGACGCCCCCACAAACCCCCCACCATTCCCATTCACCCCAAACCCACCAAACGGCGAAGCAGCAGCAGGAACAGCAGCACCATCCGCACCTGGGTTATTATTTTCATTGCCGTCTGCACCACCACTGCCCCCATCACCATCAGCAGCATTACCGGCTGCAGCAGGGGGAGGGGTGAAACCCCCAAAGAGAGGGGCCGCAAGAGCTGCTGTTGATCCTGCTGCTGAGCCTGTTGATGCTGACGCTCCAAAACTGAAAGTTGGCAGCGACGGTGCAGCAACGCCATTTGCTGCAGACCCTCCAAATGTAAACAGGCCCTTGCTGACACCATCAGCAGCACCAGCACCAGCACCAGCAGCAGCAGCAGTGGCAGCAGGAGCGGATGACAGGCCAAAAGAGGGTGCAGAGCTCGAAGTACCAGCAGCAGCCGAGGAAGCAGCAGCAGAGAAGGAAAATACAGGGGTGGCAGTCGGGGATGTCCCTGTACCTGCCGCCTTGCCAAAGGAGAACTGCGGGGCGGATGGAGTCGCACCAAACGAGAAGAGCGGAGCAGCGGCAGCAGCGGCAGCAGGGGATGAGGCAGCAACAGCAGCAGGGGTTAAGCCGCCAGCAGCGGGGGATGAGGCAGCAGCGGCAAGGGATGGTGATGGTGACAGGCTCTTGGAGGCAAAGGAGAAGAGAGGAGCAGCAGACGAAGTGGGGGGAGCGAAAGCAGTGGCAGGCATTGAAGGGGAGAGTTGAAAGGAGGGAGCGGGTGTGGAGGAGGGAGCAGCACTGAACGAAAAGACAGGAGAGGAAGACGCTCCGGCTGCTGCTTTCGAAGCACCAGCATCTGCTGCAGCTGTATTAAAAACCAGGGACGCAGAAGAGGGGGGCAGAGAGGAAGCGGGGATCGACGGAGAGGAGGAGCCGGCGGCAGGAGGAGGAGAGGAGGTGAATGCGAACATGGGAGCAGAGGCGGTGCCTGCTGCTGTTCCCTCCGCTGCTGCCGCTGCTGCTGGTGAGCCGAACTTGAATGGAGAGGGAGAGAATGGGGAGGGAGGGGAGGGGAATGGGGAGGGGGATGAGGGAAATGGGGAGGCCTGTGCCGGCTTGTCGGATGTCTGGGTTGGTGGGGAGGCCCTTTTCTTGAAAGGGTTGGGAAAATCACCCCCATCAGCAACAGCAGCAGCAGCAGCACCATCAGCAGTTGGTGGGGAAGCCCTCGCCTTGAAAGGGTTGGGAAAAGCACCGCCATCACCACCATCACCACCATCAGCAACAGGGCTGCTGCTTCCTTTGCCCCACACAGCAACGCCACCCCTCTTCTTTGGCCTGTCCGACTGCAGTCTCTCACTCACCTCATCCCCCTCCCCATCCCCCTCCCCCTCCCCACCCTCCTCCCCATCCCCGCCACCTGCCCCTATCTTTGCACCTGCCTCTGTGGGACTGCTCTTTCCTGCAAAGGAGAAGGGTGTCACTGCAAAGGCAGGAGTGGTTGTTGCTGCACCACCAGCACCAGCAGCAGCAGCAGCAGCAGCAGGAGTGGTCGCCCCAAACGCAGGAGTCGCAGGGGCAGCACCAAAGGCGAAGCCACTCTTAGCTGGGGAAGATGCAGGAGTGGCAGCACCAAAGGCAAAGCCACTCTTAGCTGGGGCAGAAGCGCCGAAGGAAAACACCGGAGTGGCAGTTGGTGCCTTTGCCTCTGCTGAAGCCGCTGTGCCAGAGCCTAAGCCTGTACCTGGTGCGGTCTCCGCAGCACCAGTTTTGGTATTCCCAGCAGCACCAGTGCTAGGAACCACCGACGACGTGAAGGGAGAGGACGTGGCAAAAAGGGCCTTGGGTGCGGCCAGCACTTGTGGCTTATCAGCAGCAAACGCACCAGCAGCAGCAGCGGCAGCGCTGGTAGTAGTGGCGGCTGGGGATCTGAATGAGAAGGCGACGGGAGTGATGGGCGAGGATGGGAAGGAGGGGGAGGAGGGGGCTGTAGCAGCAACGGCTGTAGCGCCGGCAGAAGTCGCAGCGGCAACAGACACAGGAGCTGCAGCTGGCGAGTCTGGCTTTGAGGCATGCGATGGTGATGGTACAGCCTTGCTGCAGGGGTGAGGGAGACACATGTGGATCGGTGCAAGGGATTGGGGAGGGCAGGAGGGATGGGGTGAGGAGCGGCGGTTGCATGCAAATAACCAACGCATGGCTCCAGCAGCCTGGCTCTGAGGCATGCGATGGTGATGGTGATGGCACAGCCATGCTGCAGGGGTGAGGCACAAGGGGAAGGCACAGGGGGAAGGCACAAGGGGAAGGCACAGGGGGAAGGCACAGGGGGAAGGCACAAGGGGAAGGCACAGGGGGAAGGCACAGGGGGAAGGCACAGGGGGAAGGCACAAGGGGAAGGCACAGGGGGAAGGCACAGGGGGAAGGCACAGGGGGAAGGCACAAGGGGAAGGCAGAGGGGGAAGGCAGAGGGGGAAGGCACAGGGGGAAGGCACAGGGGGAAGGCACAAGGGGAAGGCAGAGGGGGAAGGCACAGGGGGAAGGCACAGGGGGAAGGCACAGGGGGAAGGCACAAGGGGAATGGTGCGAGGGATGGGGCGAGAAGGGATAGGATGAGGAGGGTAGAGGATGGGGAAGCAGCAGACATACATGGATGGCGAGGATGGAAGCATGACACAACATACCAAGGCGAATTGTACTTACATAGCACAGGAAACACGCGGAAAGGGGCCAGGGTATTTTTGAGAAGACACAACATACCAAGGTGAATTGTACTTACATAGCGAAGGAAACAGGCGGAAAGGGGCCAGGGTATTTTTGAGCAGACACAGCATACCAAGGTGAATTGTACTTACATAGCGTAGGAAACAGGCGGAAAGGGGCCAGGGTATTTTTTAGCAGACACAACATACCAAGGTGAATTGTAGTGACATAGGGTACCAAACAGCGGGAAAGTCTATTTTTGAGGGGCCTCAAACATAGTGTAGGAAACAGGGGGGAAGGGGCCAGAATGCAGCTGTGAACGGAGCAAGTGCGGACTCACAACAACTAGCTCTAACAGTTTCAGACAGCAGAAAAGGCTTTAAGACGAATTGCGTCCTTGTAGTGACAAGGGTGCCCACCTGAAGGAGAAAGCTGGAGAGCGGAATTGGAATTTTGGTGCTTGTGCTACTGCTGCTTGCTCTGGCTCTGCTGCCTTGGCGACTACCACACTGAAATCCAGACCCGCTGCCGAGCCTGGCCTGCTGCCGAAGCTGAACTTAGGCTCGGCAACCTCTGCACCCTTCTTCTCGCCCAAAGCAGCTCCAGGTGGAGAGGTCTGGGACTTGGAAATGCTGCCCGAACCGAACAGCTTCGGGGTTTCCAAACCTGCAGAGGGGAATGCCGAGCCTGCCGGGGCTGCCCCTGTGCCGTGGAATGAGAAACCCCCAGCAAACCCTGCACGTGCACCCCCTCCTGCTGACGTGGCATCAGGGGATCCACGTGGGCGTATCACAATGGTCGGCTCATCAGATGACGTGGCAAACGGCTCTCTCTCCTTGCTTCCTCCACCTCTAGCCTTACTGGTGGCACCTGCACCAGCGGCACCTGCTGTTGGTGCCGCTGCTGCACCTGCACCTGCCCCTGCTGCTGCTGCAAATCCTCTCGCAACTCCGCCATCCTTCTCTGCCTCGCCCCCAACCTGCTGCGAATCCTCTCGCTTCTCTCGTATAGTTACCCCAGTTGCATCTGCTCTTGCCGCCCTGCTCGCTCCTGCCCCTTCACCTGCACCGGTGCTTGCACCTGCTGCCATACCCCAGACCGAACCTCCAAACGTACCCATACCCGTGCCTACACCTGCACCCATACCTGTACTTGCACCCGCACCTGCAATACTGGTGCCTGCCCCGGTACCTCCAGCCCAAGGGAATCCAGGCTTGGAGATGGAATCAACAGGGGTCAACGGTTTGGGAGCAGCAGCAGCAGAAGCAGCAGCAGCAGCAGCAGCAGGAGCAGGAGCAGGAGCAGCCGAAGCAGTAGGCTGCGAGCGCCCAGCAGCAGCAGCATTCGCGGCAACGCCCACACCAAGACCACCAGCAGCGGATTCAATCAAGGCAGTCTGTGCATACACCCCTTCTTCTTCCTCCGCAACCATTTCCTTGCCCTTCCCCATCTGCCCCACACGCTGGACCCCACCCTCAGGACCTAGACCAGCAGCACCTGACACAGCACCTGAGAAACCACCTGGAGCCGGCTGCGCAGATGGAAGTTCAGCAACAGACAGACGCTCGCCAGCAGCCCTCTTGCCCATGTACGTGGGGAGGAACGTCAAGGGAGGCGCCACTATCTCATCCCCCTGACCCCTCCTGCCCAAACGCCCTGCACCCGAACCTGCACCCATACCAGCACCCGTACCTGCACCCGGACCTGCACCCGTACCTGCCCTAAAACCATCACCTGCCCTGGATCCCAGGCCCACCAATCTCTTCCAGCTATCTACGCCCCTGTCACTCAACCCACCCCCAATCCCACTAAACCCGCTCAAATCCCTGTCTCCTCCAACCCTGCTTTCGACCGCTCCCCCTGTGCGCCCATCGACGCCCCCTGCAGCCCCCCCCCTTGCAAAGCCCCCCCTGTGATATCTTCTAGTTTCGCCAGAATCTTCTGAGCCGTCTCTAGCGACTTAGACGGGGCCAGGTTCAGCCCAGAAAACACTTTCTCCTCTGCCCGCTGCTGCTTCTCTCGCTGCTGCTGCTGCCTCTCCTCCTCCTGCTGCTGCTGGCGCTTCTGTCGTTCCAACGGCTCATTCCGCACCTTGCCTACGCCCTTTCGGCCGAACAGCCCAAACGTATCCCTTTCCAGAAACAGCCCTCCTGCGTCTCCCACCCCTTCGAACGCCCTGTCCCAAGCACCCTTTCTCGCGCCGAGGGAAAACCCGGGCAGGTCTCCGGGCAGCAGGCGAGGCCCGCCGCTGCTGCTGCGAGAGGCAAAGGCATGCGAGCGGCCAGCCTGACCGCGGAGCCGGGCAGAGGGGAGAAAACTCCCAGCCCCCGCCGAAAAAAGTGCAGGGGGAGGGAGGGGAGGGGCGGCTATAGCTCCTGTGAGGAAATCTGAACGCCTTGAGATAGGACCCGGAGGATAAGCGCTAGGGCCGGGTGGGAAAGAGACGAGGGCGAGACTGTTTGGCTGGCGCGAGGCTCGAGGGCGAATGCGGCGCGCTGACTCGGATCCTCTCAGCCAATCAGCGTCTGCCTCGTCAGCGTCGCGACCTCTCTTGGCGGACTGAGTGGCCAAGGGGGAGGGGATGGACGAGGGGGAGGGGGAAGGAAGGGGGAGGGGGAAGGAGAGGGGGAGGGGGAAGGAGAGGGGGAGGGGGAAGGAGAGGGGGAGGGGGAAGGACAGGGGGAGGGGGAAGGAAGGGGGAGGGGGAAGGAGAGGGGGAGGGGGAAGGAGAGGGGGAGGGGGAAGGAAAGGGGGAGGGGGAAGGAGAGGGGAGGGGGAAGGAGAGGGGAGGGGGAAGGAGAGGGGGAGGGGGAAGGAAAGGGGGAGGGGGAAGGAGAGGGGGAGGGGGAAGGAAAGGGGGAGGGGAAGGAGAGGGGGAGGGGGAAGGAAAGGGGGAGGGGGAAGGAGAGGGGGAGGGGAAGGAAGGGGGAGGGGAAGGAGAGGGGGAGGGGGAAGGAGAGGGGGAGCGGGTGGAGAAAGGAAACAGGGCTTACTGAGCCCAGCGCTTTTGAGTCGAATCAAAAGGAAACAGGGCTTACTGAGCGCCCAGCGCTCACCAGGACAGCATTAAGAAGGGAGGGGTGAACAAAAATGGAACGCGCACACTGTAAGCCAGAGGCAAAGAGGCTGTAGGTGCCAGGTGTGGCAGGTGCGGCAGGTGTGCCAGGTGTGGCAGGTGTGGCAGGTGTGGCAGGTGCGGCAGGCGTGGCAGGTGCGGCAGGCGTGCCAGGTGCGGCAGGTGCGGCAGGTGCGGCAGGTGTGCCAGGTGTGCCAGGTGTGGCAGGTGTGGCAGGTGTGGCAGGTGTGGCAGGTGTGTAAGCAAGGGGGCATCCATGCGTGATCGCATGGCTCACACAGTAGAGCACGCATGTCCCTATAGCTGCATCGACCCTTCGCCCATGACCCACCTTGGGCGTAGCAGGCACGGAGGCACGATACTGGCCGTGAGAAGACGCCCCTGGAAACACCGCTCGCACCAACTCTCCGTTCAAACCCCCCCTCTCAACCCCCCTCTCCCCTCCCCACCCACCCTCCTCTGCCTCCCCTTGCTCCCCCTCCTCGTCCTCCTCCTCGCCTTCCCCCCGATGCTGCGCCAGCTGCCCCCACATGTCCCCCGCCACAGATTCTGACGGCCGCCTGGAATCCACCACCACCATCTCACCCCACCCGCTCGCCCTCCCCTCTCCACCCTGCTCTTGAGAGAACCTCCCATCGTGCCCAGCCCCAGCGAACCCACCGTTAGGTCCTGTCCCAGAGAACCCGCCGTTAGGCCCCCCAGCAGCAGCGGCGGCGGCAGCAGCGGGGAATGGCAGGTCATCCCCACCCGCACCCTCTGCAATAGGAGACGCACTGGCCCTAGGCCTTGCTGCAGCGGCCTTGCCCGCACTGCTAGCCCGTGCACGACTAGGAGAGGGATCAGCAGCAGCGGCAGCAGCAGCAGCAGCAGCGCGGAGGTCACCTCTCATATACGCCTTAGCAATATCCACAGGCGATGCCCCGCCCTGGGGGGAGGGGGGACAAGAGAGATGGGGTTGGGCGGGAATGGGGGGGGGGGGAAGCAGAAGGAGCACCGCAGGACGGGAGCAGTGACATGAGAGCGGTGCGAGGAGGAGTGTCAGGAGAAACCGCGGAAAACGAAATGAAATGGGAACGAAATGCTAGAAACGAAATGCTAGAAACGAAATGGGAACAAGGCAAATCAAGGAAAAGAAAAACCGAGCAGACCAGCCAGGCAGACGTGCGTGCTTCACACTGCACGCTGCTGCTGAGGAATGCACCCTTCACGCCTCTAAAGTAACATGGCACACAGCACAAACTCCTGCTCCTTCCCGCACCTCCTCCCCCCCTCTCCCAGTTCCCTCCTATCCTGTCCCCATTCGTCTAACTCCAAGAGCTTACGTCTGGCGTGTGGAACTCCTCGTCCTCGTCATCATCCGCACCATCCACGTCAGCAGCGGGCGACGCCCGACCACTGGCCACAGGCGTGGCGAATCTAGCTCCGGCCTCAAAGAACGGAGTTCCGGTCACTGCTCCTGCCGTTCCCGTTACTGCTCCGACCCCCGGTACTGCCCCAACTCTTGCCCCTGCCAAGCCCCTTCCGGGCACCGTCCTTCCAGCGCCCGCGGCAGAGGTGGTGAAAGTGCGGGATGCGTCAAAGAAGGGCGTTGCTGCCGCTGCTGTCGCCGCTGCTGCAGCGCCAGGGGTATGAAAGGGCGTGGGGTTTGCCACACCAGGAGTGTGGAACGGGGTGGTCTGGGCTGGCCTGGCCGGAGTGGTTGCGGAGGCAGGAACGACTGACGGTGCGCGGGTCGAAGGGCCCGGAGCGGAAGGGTCCGCTCGAGCGGCACTAGCGCGTACTGGGGCGGTAGTGGCGTCGGGGTCAACCACCTGAGCGCGCAGCATCTGCGACAGTCGCACGTACTCACGCCTGCATGCCACACACGCACTCGCACACGAACGCACGAACGCACGCACGCAGACAGAGTGTGGGAGCGGAACGTGTGGAAGAGAAGGTGGGTGGGGGGGGGGGGGGGGGGGGGGGGGGGGGGGGGGCAACGCAAAATCTTGGAATAGAACAAACATGCACGGCCTACAGAAGTACAGTGGCAGGATTGCGAGCCGTCAGCTAGGGTAAGCTCCGACCTGTTCTCCTCGTCTGCTGTCCCTTCTTGCCGTTGCGACCCTGGTGAGGCACACACAGCGTGAAACACCACACCCTACTCACATTCACAGGGGCTTTCAGCCTAGACGAAGCGGAAAGAACCCTGGAGACACGCGCACAGCGTGAAACACCACACCATACTCGTACTCACATCGACAGGGGCTTCCCACTCGAGGGCACGTCCCCAGCAGCAGCAACAGCCGCCATGCCGTCAGCTAGGCTCAGCTCAGCTCTCTCATCCGCTCCGCCTGCAATCGCCTCTTGGCGTCGCGACCCTGGTAAAATTGCAGACAACACAGTCAAGGGAAAGAGGGTGTGGGAGGGTTAGGGACGTTCGCCAGTGGGAGCGAACATTGCAACGAAGTGAGACGGGGTTTTCATGTGGATCCCGTTGCAAGGGTTTCGTTGGCCAAAGGCGAGGAAAGCGCGAATTGTTCGTTTTGAACATCCCCGGAATCGGGAATCGGAGATTCGGTACGCGGCAGAGACTGCATTAGGTTTTTTTTTTGCGGAAAGGCAGGTAACATTCAACGGCTATGATAACTGAAGAAACCCTAAAATTGTTTCTGGCTGGCGCGGAAAGGCAGACTTCTAACGGCTATGATACCTGAAGAAATTGATCAGTTCTCAACCAGGAAAAAGAAATGACACGAGCGGTGGTAAGCGGCGCCTAGATCAGTGAAACACATTTTAGCAACGGACGGCTGAGATCTCTGTACCTGGGTTATTCGCGTCGTTCGCCTGATCGCTGGTCCGTCGCCAGCCAATCATACTCAGCATCGCACCGCCCAAACCTCCGAGCCAACCCTTCTTTTGCGAACCTCCGTCTTTACCACCCGCCGGAGCAGCAGCGGCGCCGGTTGTAGCAGCAGCGGCTGTAGCGGCAGCAGCGGCTAACTGGCCGGCAGCGGCGTGCCGTCCCGTCGCCGGTCTGCTGTACGGCGTGTCGGCTCGCACTCCATATCGCCTGGATCTACCGAGCTTTCCCCCCGTTCCGCCTGTTCCCCCTGTTCCGCCTAGTCCGCTTGTGCCGCCTGTTCCTGCTGCGCCGTAAGGCGTCGACGCTCTATCGAAAAGATGCCCCGAGGCGACAGGATCTGTCGCATGGAACGTCGCATCGTTCGCGAAGCTGGTCGGAAACGCGAACTCTGTGGCGTGCGACGAAGCCATTGCTCGGAACGAAGGAGTATATGTATTGTTACGAAAATTATTAGCAGGTAGCTAACAGCCGTGACCTTATAAGCGTAACCTACTCATCTGCTTACTCAACCGCGAGTTGCGGCAGCACACCCAGAGCCAGCCATAAACAACAGGAGGCTCCAGTGTAAGAACAGGAACGCAGGCTGTTAGATCAGGAATATGGAGGGAGACAAGGAAAGAAACCGAAGCGACAGGATCTAGGGAAAATGGAATGGATGGATCGCCTTGCCTCTACTCTGTTCCTCCGCCCCTCCACTCCGCCCATCTCAACTCCGCTCCGCTCCGCTAGTTTCCCCTCCGCCAAGCACAACTCGGCTCATCTCCGCTCCGCCGCTCGGCTCATCTCTATGGGCGGACTGACAGAACAGGGGGTCAAGCAGCTGTGGCGGGAAGGATCACCCTGAAAACTCCGAAACGGGAAACCTCGCGCCACTTAGCACAGCCAGATCCCGTAGTTCAAATTCGTTGATGCTGGTACAGTGATATAGCTCTTTACGAACATTATTTCCCTTAAATGGTATTTGGGTGGTGGGCAATAAAGCGAAGTACAACAGCAGCAAGAATCCTATTATAAGAAAATCATAGCGTTTTACTCCCCACATGAATAGACAACCTAAGTTCCGTAGTAAATATACCACAGTCCAGCACACCACCATAGTCCACATCACACGCATCAGAAGGTACAACATGTATGCAGGGCGGTTCAAGAACTCAACTCTCACTGTCTGTTGCCTCATTGACGTTCTACTAAAATCATTTCTCTTGGCGTATGGCTGCGCAGTCCAACATGCCTCTCAAACTCACCTTCCCCTGCTGCCAAAACACACCTAGCATCCAACCCCTCCTCCCCTTACCGTGCATCCCACGACCCCCATACCCTGCGTCTCACCACCACCCATGCCCTGCGCCCCATCCACCTCACCGGTCAATTGCTGCACTCAACAAACCCTAGGAGACTCTCAGCCCTGTTCCCTGACTCTCAGGACGGAGGTGGTTGGACGGAGGTGCCTGGACGGAGGTGGTTGGACGCAGGTGGTTGGATGCAGGTGGGTTGGACGCAGGTGGTTGGACGGAGGTTGTTGGACGGAGGTGGTTGGACGGAGGTGGTTGGACGGAGGTGGTTGGACGGAGGTGGTTGGACGGAGGTGGTTGGACGGAGGAGGTTGGACGGTGGTGGGTTGGACAGAGGTGGTTGGGTTGGACGGAGGCAGTTGGACGGAGGTGGACTGAACCGCCCTGTGTCACCTTGTATTTGGGGTCTGAAACCCCCTCTCCCCTGCCTCACCATGTATTTGGGGTCTGAACCCCCCTCTCCCCTACCTCCTCATATTTTGGGTCTGAACCCCCCTCTCCCCTGCATCTCCTCATATTTTGGGTCTCAAGCCCCGCTCTCCCCTGCCTCGCCTGCATCCCTTCTCCCCAACCTCTCCTAGCAATTGGGGTATGAACCCCCCTCCCCCGCCACTGGGCCCTGAACCTCTCCTTGCGATAGGGGTCTGAACAACCCCCCCCTGACATGATACTGTATCATTTGCACAACCCCAGAGTACGTCCCGACCCCTCTCACACACCACACTCTGGGGGTTTAAACAACCCCAGGGTACGTCCCTTCCCCTCTCACCCACCACCATACTCTGGGGGTTTGAATCAATTCCACCACAATCTGGGGGTTTGGAGCCCGCCAAGGTATGTCTAGGGCACAAGTGGGGAGGTGCGGTGAGAGTGTGGCAGAGGAGAGGGTTTAAGCCTACAGGGCAACAAGAGGGCGAGAAAGGTAAGGCTGTTGAGAGGCAAGAGAGGGGGTTTGGAGTCAGAAACCAAGCTAGGGCGAACCAGAGGCAGAGGAGGGGGGTTCCCCTGCCCCTATCTCGCCCTTACTTGGTGGTTCCAACCCCTCTCCCCCCCCCTGCCCCTCTTTAGCCTTACCCTGAGGGGTTTCCAGCCCCCCTCCCCTCTCCTGCCCTGACATTATCCTGAGAGCTTTCACCCCCCTCCCCTGCCACTCACTCAACTCCCCTGGGGGATTCAGCCCCCACTCCCCACTCTCCCGCTCACCTCCTCTGGGGGATTCAGCCCCCACTCCCCACTCTCCCACTCACTCACCTCCTCTGGGGGATTCAGCCCCCACTCCCCATTCTTCCACTCACTCAACTCCCTTGGGGTATTCAGCCCCCACTCCCCAATCTCCCACTCACCTCCTCTGGGGGATTCAGCCCCCACTACCCACGCTTCCACTCGCTCAACTCCTCTGGGAGATTCAGCCCCCACTCCCCACTCTCCCACTCACCTCCTCTGGGGGATTCAGCCCCCAATCCCCACTCTTCCACTCACCTTCTCTGGGGAATTTAGCCCCCACTCCCCACTCTCCCACTCACAACTTACCCTGGGGTTTCTACTCAAGCACTCTCCCCTCCCAACACACCTTACCTCCCAGCCCCCCCCAGCCCGCTCCCCCTTCACCCCCCCAGCAGTAGGAGCAGCACACAGCCCCCTCCGTCTCGGAAGCAGCACCCAAGCGGCTGTGCCTTGCAGTGAGGGGAGCAGCGGTGGATAAGCGTTTCTGGCCCAAGACTCAATCCACCCCCTGGCATAGCATGAGCTTGCCCGAACCACAGCCAGCCAGCACGGCTGTGGCAGGGCCTATTGTGCTTGAACAGCGCAGGTTCGGAACTGGAGCACCAACTGCCTCGCCACGCTAGTTCCACCAGCCACACCCCCACCAGCAACGCACGCACCAGCCTGCCTGTTGCCCCTAACGGAGTGAGTGAGCTGGTTGCTGCTCCCGTGCCCCCCACCCCACCCCCCCTTGACCCCCCACCACCCCCACCTCCCCCCTTCCCCCTCCTCTACCTCCTTATCTCCACTTACCGCTGGTATGCAGAGCACCATGAGTGGGGGGAGGAGCCGCCGGGGGGGGGGGGGGGATGGTGAGTGGGGGGGATCCAATCAACTGCCAGGCAGGAGCCTTGCTGCTGTGGAGGGAAGGGATAGGGGAGAGAGGGGGGGTAGGGGGGGTGTTGTGGGGGGGGGATGAAACCAAGTGGCCCCTATTTTTTCCTTTTGAGTCGACTCAATAGTTTCTCCTTTTGCTCCTCCTTTTGCTCCTCCTTTTGCCCCTCCTTTTGCTCCTCCTTTTGCCCCTCCTTTTGCTCCTCCTTTTGCTCCTCCTTTTGCTCCTCCTTTTGCTCCTCCTGTCACTCCTCTAGGAGTCCTCCGATATGATATGATGGCTGATATGATGCAGCATCCGAGGCTGATGAACGTTACCTTACCGTACCTTACCGTACCTTACCGTACCCTACCGTACCTTACCGTACCTTACCGTACCTTACCTCGCTCACTCCTCACCCCCTAAACCCTAGCTTGCTAGCCGCTGCCCCATCTGCTGCTGCTGCCCCTCTGCTGTTGCTGCCCCCCCTCTGCTGCTACTAGCTGCTGCTGCCAAGTGACCTGCAAGGGGGAAGACAAGGGCGGAGGGGGTTGCGGGGGAAGGAGATAAATGGCCACACCACCAGGGCGAACACCACTTGGTGGTCACACCACCAGACTAAGTGGAGAAATACGCGTACAGCGTATTATACGCAAGCGTATTATACGCTAGCGTATATACGCTGTACGCTTCATTATGGGATTGGATACGCTAGGAAATACGCTCTGGCGGGCAGGTATAAAAACAACTCGGGCAGGGGTAAAAAAAACCTGTTTGGGGAGGGAAGAGGGGGGGTTCAGAGCACCAAATTCCCCCCACCAAATGTGGCATCATTTAGCATGGTAATAAATAAATAGTTCAAGCCACCAAGGGCATGTCAAGGGTTCCAAACTCCAACAACCAGCCAACCACCCATCTCAGGTAAGCCTCCCCCAAACCGCCCGCCTAACCCTCTCCTGCTCTGCTCTACAGGTACTCGTCCAGCAGCTCCTCATCTTCGCCCTCCTCATCCTCCTCCTCCCGATCCACCCTGTACCCCGCAGGGACGGGGGCGTCCGGGATGTTACCGGACACCACCCCCGCCCCCTCGTCGGCCATGTGCCAGTTGTGCACAACCTTCCAGTTGTGCGCAACGTAAACCAGATCCTTGCACTTTTCTGAACCCAGCCGGTTGCGTCGGGCGGTGTGGACAGTATCCCACACCGCCCAGTTGCGCTCGCAGCTGGATGCAGACACCGGCTGAGTTAGCACACGGCAAGCAAGGGCCATGAGCAAGGGGTGGTCAGTGCCGTGCCACTCCCACCACGCCTCCATGGAATAACTTCCTTCCTTCACCAACTTCCGGTCACTGATGGCCTCAGCCGTGCCGAAGCTGCCCCTCAACTTCAGAAAGGCGGCCAACCCTTCCTGCAGGAGGAGTGTGGCACGCTTGGGCAGGCCATCCCTCTGGGGAATCATCACCCCGCCATAGTGGCGGGCAATGAAAGCTTTGAACACATTGGTGCACTCCGTGTCCGGCCCAAAAATCCGCTCCTCCTGGTTGACCGGGTTAAGAATCCGCCCGACCACGTGCAGTGGGCAAGCCATACTCTCATCCCAACGCCGCTTCACAATCTCATTGACGCCCTTCTTGTCTCCCGCACTCAGCACCCCATCCCCCTCCTCCTTCAGCAGTTCTGCCACATTCACAGTGAGCTCAAGCATCAGCTCATAGATGCGGCCCATCATCCCTTTCGTTGCCGAATCCGTCGCCCTCATGGCCTTGAACGGGAGCAGGAGCAGCCTCTTGAAGAGCTCAGCCGCTGGCCACCAGTCCTTATCCATGATCTGGTCGTGGAATGTCTCTGCAGCTGCCTTCTTTGGGCCCACCGCCCACTCCGCCTTCCATGCATCGCAGAGCACCATGGTCACCAGCGTTGACCGCAACTCCACCAGGCGGGACACAGCAATGTGCTGCGTCCCAAACCTGGTCCCCGCCGGCCTCAGCATCTGCAGCCCCTTCCCTCCGTCCACACCCCTGAGATACTGTCGGGTCCAATGGTGGCTGCGGGTGTAGTTGATGAGCTCGCTCGCCCGCCCCACTACCTCCTTGGCCCAAGCCTGCCGTCCCACATCCTCCATAAGGAGGTCGAGCACGTGCGTCGCACACGGCACATGCTCGATGCGCGGATTCTCTGCAATGAGGAGCCGGCAGGCGCTGTGGTAGTTGCTGCCGCCATCGGTGCAGAATGCCACGATGTTCTCGACCCCAACTTTTTGCAGGATGGGCCGGAGGAGCCGGGCGATGTATCCCCCGGTCTTTTTCTCCATCTTGCAGTCAATACTCTCGACGAACACTGCACCGGTGTCATTGACCAGCATCACATTCGCCTGCGGCCTGCCACACTTGTCGGTCATCATGTCGCTGGCAATCGTCACGCCGTGGCGCTTCCAGCTCGACATGACGCCCGTCAATCCCTCGTCAATCCGCTTGCGGCATAGCTGCAAGCCGGCACCACCCACGTAGTCGCGCTTTGGAGGCACATAGCTGGTCCCCGCGCGCGCGATGGACCGGACGGCGTTGCGCCAAAGCGGGTGGTCGGCATGGCGCTCGGGAAGGCGGAGGCCGGCAAAGAGGAGGCAAATAGCCTCGTCCGCCGCCGCCTTGGCCGCTTGGGCGTCATCGGACAGGTAATCGGTGATCTTCCGCTTTCCCCGACCACTAACGGCGTCGAGGGCCGACTCCTCCGCCCTATGCGCCTCCTCCCTCGCGAGCACTTTGGCGGTTTGGAACGCGCGGACGGCAGCCTGCTCCTCCTTCCCTACCTCCTCGCATTTCCGAACCTCGCGCCTACGCATACCATCCCAACTAGTGATGTGCTGTGCGCAGCGGTAGGCCGTCCCGGTAAAGGATACGGGGCAGTACTTGCACCAATACTTTTGCTGCTTGCCGTGCTCCTTATGCTTAAACTTGAAATGCTTAAAGATAGCGTGGGTGGAGTTCTCCAGGAGCTCGTCAGAGGAAGACGCAGCACAGGAGGTTCCCGCGTCGGTTCCGTGGGAACCAGGACTAGGTGGAGGGTTCGACATAGCAACAGTCGCTAAAAAACCAGCTAGCTAGTCGCGCTAGCTTGGAAGTAGAAATGACTGAAGTTAGCGCGCCAGTTTACTTGTACCCTGATTTCGTCGTAGGAGTGCACTGCGCTGAACCCTGCTGGAGTAGAGTAGAGAGGGAGAGGAAGGAGATTTCTTTGGGTGTTGCTTGGAAGTCGCAGATTGGGTGGGATGCTGTGTGGTTGGGAGGGGCGAAGGGGTTGGGTTGACGATTTGAAAAGCCAAATTTCGGTTTGCGACATGGCGAAATCCCTGTGGGGTTTCGTCATGTCGCAAATTTGTCGCATCGTTTTTTGCGTATTTCTTGCCGGGCTGCCCGCCAAGAAATACGCTAGCGTATTGCGTACTTAGCTAGCGTACAGCGTATTCGTATTATACGCTAGCGTATGTACGCAATACGCTAGGCTGCCCAAGCGTATTTCTCCACTTAGCCACCAGAGAACACCACTTGGTGGCCACACCACCAGAGAACACCACTTGGTGGCCACACCACCAGAGAACACCACTTGGTGGTCACACCACCAGATGCAGGAAATGAAGGCAAAAGAGCACAGGAATAACGAGCAAAGGGAGTTGCAGGGAGTAACACGAGTTGAAACAAGTTGCACCAGGGAAGCAAAGCAAACGAAATGCAAGCCACAAGTTGCAAGCCACAAGTTGCAAGCTAGCTTGAAAGAAGAGAAGACTTTCAACCCTTTGAAAGCTTTGAGAAGCCTTGAGAAGGATGGAAGGCAGACGAGGGATGGGGTAGGAACGGGGCTCACCTCTTTCCATGGACCCTTGCCCCACCCCACACTCTCCCTTCGCTGCTGGGCGCCCTGCTCCCACTCTCCCCCCCCCCTCCTTCCCTCGCTGCTGGGCGCCCGTCCCTCCACTCCCCTCCGCTTTCCGCCCCTCCCCTGCTGCTCCCTGCATGCACTGCTCCCTGTTCGCCTGCTGCTCCCTGCATCCCTTCCCGCCCCTCCCCTGCTGCTCCTTGCATCCCTTCCCGCCCCTCCCCTGCTGCTCCCTGCATGCCTTCCCGCCCCTCCCCTGCTGCTCCCTGCATGCCTTCCCGCCCCTCCCCTGCTGCTCCCTGCATGCCTTCCCGCCCCTCGCCTGCTGCTCCCTGCATGGCATGTCAAAGCATGGTGTGGCATCACAAGTTACAGCAGACGGTAGGCAGGGTGAGGGTACTTAGCTTTGAGACTTTGAGGCGTTGCCGCTTACCCCTCCTTCCCTGCCCCTGCTGCTGCTGCTGCTGCTGCTGCTGCTGCTGCTGCCTCTCCCGCCCAACCTCCAGTCTGCCGCCCATGTGTCCAACCTGCACCTCACCATCCACACTCGTTTCCCCTCCCCATGCCCCATGCCCCATGCCCCATGCCCCATGCCCCATGCCCCACACACGCGGACGAACGGCTGTGAGCAGCAGAGGGAGAAGGGGGGACGACTCGAATGGGCGAGCGTGACTCGAGACGCTCTAGCGGCCGCCTGCACACTCAAACGCCCCCCCACAGGCATTTCCCCCGGAATTACCATGTAGGAGGAGGGGGGTTTTAGGGGGGAGAGGAGAGGGAAGAAGCCGAGTGCCTCCATAATCACTGGTGCCGCCACTGCCGCCCAGACTGCAGTCTGCCAGCCATGCTCCAACACACACACTCTCCTCCCCTTCCCCCCCTCCCTCCCACAGCAGACTGCACAGCCTTGGAGGCTCGGAGGCCGTAAGAACGCCCACCCCCATGCAAGCACGAAAGGTAAACAGAAGAGGAGGCAGGGGTGAGCAGCAGGACGAGAGGGGGGACGACTCGAATGGACGAGCGTGACTCGAGACGCTCTAGCGGCCGCCTGCACACTCAATCGCCCCCCCACAGGCATTTCCCCCGGACTTTACCGTGTAGGAGGAGGGAGGGGATGGGTGGGCGGGGGGGAGAAGGGGCACGAGGCCGAGCAACGCCCGATCCACTGCGTGCGCTGCCGAACCTGCATTCCGCCAGCCAAGTGTCTCTCGTTCAACCTACAGACTCACGAGTCTGCAGACTCGGTGGCTCGGAGAGGCCATAACCCCACACGCGCACACACAAACAGAAAGCAATAGAGGAACGGGCGTGTTAGGAGCGGTTGGAAAGGGCGACGACTCAATGCAAGGAAGAGTGGACAGGCGCGCTAGGCGGCGACGCCTACTCGTCCCCCCCAAAGGCATGTCCTCTGCGCAGAACCATGCATGCGGTGTCGGGGTGGCAGACGAGCCGCGCAGAACGGCCGTGCGTTATCTCCGCGCAGCAACGATGTGACCCCACCATTCTCGCTGCTCTGCGGCGCGCCACCCGTGCTTTCTGCCACGGTGCCACCCACCGCCTCCCTCCTCCACTCTGTCCGCCCTTCCTCAGACGCACCGGCGGCGGGTCGGACGCACACACAAGCACCGACAGCAGCACACACGCACAGGGAGGGTTGTTAGCAGCGGCACGGAAAAGGTTGGACTCGCAACAAGGACGAATCGGCAGACGCGCTAGGCAGCGACACCTACTCGTCCTCCCCCAAGAGGCTTTCCCGCGGACGTACCAGCAGCGAGATCGCACGCAGTGCGACCGCGAGCAGGAACGACGGCGACGGCAGAGAGACGATGCGAATCACGGCGACGAGGCAAATCACGTCGACCAGGATAATCATGGCGACGATGTGAACCATGGCGACGATGCGAATCAGGGCGACGATGGCTAACGAATCTTAAGGATATCATGAAGGTCTGGACATCGTCGCGTGGTGCATCCTCTGCTCCGACGACCGCACAGCACGACGTATCGTCTGCTCGAGGCGAGATACAGTAAGATAAGGAAAGCCGCGAGTCAGTTGCGAGCGGGAAAATAAGGACTTCCACTACGGAAATTGACCAGCAGAGGAGGTAGCTAAATTTGACGGAATGACGGAATAGCAGAACAGCAGAGTTGGAGGATCACCTTGACAAGGCGGTGGAGGGCGACGAGAAGCGGTGAGGAGCGGTGATGAACGGCACCAGGTTCAGGTCGAGCCGGCAAGTCGCATTCAATTGAACTTGATCGTCTTCCAATCGCGTGCAGGTTCAGATGAGACCAATGGATCACATGTTGACTTGGTCAGGTCGCACGCGACAATCAGAAACACCAGTTCGACAGGAAACAGAATTTTGACGGCGGAAATTTAGTTTGACGGGAAACATCAGTGTCGACGAGATGACAAGCTGGACGGAATCAGCCGGCTTGACGAAAGATTTCTGCGCCCAACCACACACCTGACCGAATCATCAGGTTGACGGAAACCGTCAGGCTGAACCCAACATCGTTGCAGCTTGGACTTCCTCGCCACATGCCTCCTCCGTCGCTCCTCGCTGCTTCGACGGAGCACGGCTGAGAAACGAGCAGCTTGACTCGACATTGCGGCGAGCATCGCGGCTGAAATACGAGCAACTGTCATTCCCGCCGGGATTCAGAGAACCTGCAATCGAGCGGTAAAACGAGAAAGATTAATGAACAAACCGATTGAATATCGATTTTTAGGGGAATAACGACAGTGGACGCTTCCCGTTACCTTGAAACGGATTTTGACCGACTTGATGACGACGCGTGCAAGGTACGGCCGCCGTTGATAAAATCCGTCGGCGGAGCACTTGGACTGCAGTAATCGTGACTACTGGAAGTAACCGAGACGATTCGACAAAAATTGACCGCGTCGCTTACGACCGCCAAGTCTGAGTGCAGCCAGAGGCACATGGTGTGAGCGACTGCGATGTGCGACCGGTGCGACCGTTGCGACCACGACGACCGTTCGTCCGGCGCATGTCGGTCATTTTGACGACGCGAAGGCTGCGACGGACGTCGCGATGAGCCGCGTCGAAGCAGGCAGGCCAGTTCGTCTGAGCCGACGGAGTTCGTCTCGCTCCGCGCTAGAAAGCAGAGCTGAACGTGACCGTCGTTGCTAGCAGCCAAGCCCTGAGAACGAGGCGAGTGAGGGAAGCCGGAACTAGGAGCAGAGGGAAGACCGTGAAAGAAGCCGAAAGGCGAGAACGGGCGTTGGAGAAAGAGAGCGAGAAAGAGCAGGCGACGGGTGAGGTGAGGCTGGGTGAGCGTGGTGAGCATGGCGGGAGGGATGGCCGAGACTCCCTGTGGGACTCGGAGGCAGGGAGCGTGGTTCGCTCGCAGAAGCCTAAGGACCATTCGTTCAATCGCCACTGGCGGTGCCACTTGCGGTGGAATCTGGCGGCTTTCCAAGATACTAGGTGCCACTGGCGGTGGATTCTTATCCCCGAATGCGAAGGATCGACGCTAGGGGGATTTCACGAGGCGCGCGGTTTTATTCTAGGCTGGAAGGCTTGGCGGCACAACGAAACGGACGCTAACGGATCACAAATATGCGCGGAGAACATACGAGCCTTGGTGGGAGGTTCGTCACGGGGGACAGGTGACCAGATGAGGTGAATAAGGACAAGGAATTGAATAGAATTACCGAGGTGAATTCGATTCGAAGCCGGGGACGGACCCGGAGGTTTCGATAAATGCGACTCGAAAGGCGGCGGCCATGGCTTTGGTTTCGTAGGGTTGAAATTTGTGAAGGCGGGAGAAGGTCCATCAGAAGTGGCTTGAGATGAAGAGCGGCGTATGCGATACGAGCATGCACTTCAAAAACCACGTGCTAGATATCCTCTCTCCATACTAGATCTATAATTTAGGAAACGATTCTTGTATAATATATCTACTTAAAATAATAGATCGCCATAATTATAATAAAAACTGTAATAATGAATAAATGCACTTTGTCAGTGGCAACCTTATCATTGGAAAATAACCTTGTATCATAGCATGCTACAAGTAACACGTTTACAAAAAAAATCGAGAGTTGTCTCATTCATGCGAGTGCTAGTGTTTCATTGCCCGATGTGCGAACACCATGAATGGAATTATATATATGAATGAACAGCTGATGATTGAATAACAAGCTGACTTCACGCGGCATGGCATTCACTGCGGATGCACTCAAATTGGCAAGGCATTCAAGGGACAAAATCAGGCATCCATCAGAAGCCGAACCTGTCAGAGCCGGAACCCGTCAGACCACCCTTCAAACCTGAACTGCAGGTTCGAAGAATTCCCGAGCCAGCCGGACGGTCCCTTGAAGTTTGTCCTTCGCATCATCTGCAGACCAAATGCAGTAGTTAGGAGGCATCGCCGAGCCACAGATAGCTAGGAGCCTAGAGTTTTACCCCTGTAAGGCTTGTCTACGCAGTTGCGTGTAAACCCAGTAGTCCTAGTCGCACGGTAATATGATCAGCGTCGTTTCTGATTCTTCATGGTGAAGTTACAGTAGTGTGACCAGCAGAAACTTTTTACGTCACAACCCATGGTGCCTCGCTGCGTTATCGGATCTGTAAGCGGGTAAGCTTTTCCGTCTCCTTATTTCCAACCAATTTCAGTTTCGAATCCTTTCAAGTTTCTAGGGTCCCAGGTGAATGCTGCTGGGTGCCTGCATACGAGAAATGCGAGAAATGTCCGTTTCCTGCTTCCCTTCTCCCCCTCGTTCCTGTAGTTGGTTACACTGTCAGCTTTGGTACTTGCACGGATTTTTTTTTTGTAGCTGACCGTCCTACCATCCGTGACTTGCCCCGGAGTTTCTTGAACGATCTACCTTATCCGTTTCACTCATTCGTATCCCGATCCCTGTCTTCCTCCCTTCCGCTTTCAAACCCGACGTTCCGCGTGAAACCCTAGTCATGAGCTCGACCAGGCGGCACTCCCACCGATCCCTTGCCAATGGTCCCTCTTCACCCACGCGGGCGACCATTCCCCCGGCATTCCCCCGTGACGCCTCTCCGCCCCCCAGAGGCGGAAGTGGAGGGCGCAAGCCGGTTAAGAGTAGGGTAGAGAGCAATGCTGGTCATTCTTCCGCTCACGTCAGCAACCCTAGTCCCGCTGCAACTCAGACCCAGCAGCCGCAGCAGCAGCAGCAGGGTGAGGCTTCTGCGCTTATCGGGACCGTTTCTACCATGGTAAAGAGAGGGGATTCTAGTGTGACTGTCAGTGCGGCGGGTAAGAAGGCGGGGAGCGCGAAAGGGGTTGCGGAGACGGGACGAGGAGGCTCGAATAATAAGAGCAGCAGCGGGAACAGCGGGCTGACGAACAGCAGCAGCAGCGCCAGAAGCAGCAGCGGCGGCGGCGGCGGCAACAGCAGCAACAGGGGGTTGAGCAGCAGCGGCAGCAGCAGGAGGGGCATGATGGGCGGGGGGTTGACGGAGGTGCGCGTGGAGGCGATGTTCTTCCTGCACATGTGCGTCTTCCTCGCCATCCAGCTGCTCTGCCTCCACCGCTGCGCGCTGCCGGACATCAACTACCACGTCGTGAGTGCTCGCTAGGGGCTCTGTCCGCGTTATAAGACATTGACTAATACGTTTGAGTTGCTAGATATTAGCTACCACGTCGCGAGTTCTCGCCAGGGGCTCTGAGGCTTCAACCACCACGTGTTGAGTCGCCATTGGCTACGCTTATGTGAGTACGCAGTCCGCGTTATAGCACGTTATGCAGTACGAGCACGTTAGCACGTTAGGTTAGTGATTAAGTACACACGACAGCCATCCGTCCGTCCGGCACATGAACTATTACGTGGAGAGACGCAGGAGCTCCCCTGGATGGACTGTTGATGTGCGGTTGCTAGCCACCCGTGCATCATCGTCTCGGCCCCTTTACCCCATCCCTTGACTTGAGAGTATCCTCATCTCTCCCTTAAGTTCTTGGCCCTGCGCTCCCCTTCCACTCTGCTCTTCCCAGGTCACTCTGGTCTGCCTGCTCCTCCTCCGCCGCATAGTCGCCTGCTTCGTTGACTTCCACCCCCCTGCCGCCAATAAGCAGACCCCCCTTGCCGCCGCTCCATACGACAAGTGCAACGATCCCAGCACAAAGCGAGGGTGGAGTGCGAAGGGGGGTGAGGCAGGGCATGGCGGAGAGCAGGATAAAACGGAGGTGAAGCCGAAAGAGGGGAAGGGTAGAGGTGCCATTGATGGTGATGCCACTGCTGCTGCTGCTGGGAGTGAGGTTGTTCGCTTGAATGGCAATGGGTGTGAAGAGGGCGGTATGATGGCAGGAGCAGCAGCAGCAGCAGCAGCAGCAGCAGCAGCAGCAGCAGCAACAGCAGGCGGCGGAGGGGATGAGGAGGGACGACAACACAGCACTGCGTCAGGCGCTGGCGGTGGTGGTGGTGGTGGTGGTGGTGGTGGTGGTGGTGGTGCTGCTGCTGCTGGTGTGGATGCTGTTGGTTCTGGTGGTGGTAATTTCGCCTCCCAAGGGCCATGCGATTTACTGCCAGAGCATTACCAAGAGCACTGCCATCTCTTCCCCCACATGG